ATTTTTATGGCACATTCTTTAATGAATTCTCCATCCCAAAATGGCTTCTTTGCGTTTACTATTTTTAAACAAACTTCAAACGATGGAGCTACAGATACTTCTTGAAATTTTGGTTCTTGATTAAAATAAATCGTTTGATGATCCAGCTGCTTTTTCATTTTTTTCAACTAGAGGTATTTTCATGTCTCACGTGTACGAATGATACTTTTTTTATACATAGAAAGATAACGGTGCTTCAAGTTATATTCTTTACACACAGCTATGATTTGTAAACATTCCAAACACTGTGGTTTATCATTCTTGTTCAGAATAAATAAATAATCTATCTCCCAGCAATCTTGAAATTCTCGATTTTTGAGGTACATTTTTCTTTTATTAGTAGCATTAATATTCAATAATTATTTTACTTAATAAATATGAAATTAATTTAATAATATTATAACACAGTCACACCTCAACAAATTCTAGACAAGACTGCTCTCGCACGATTGCATGAATCAACCAAATAGCGCAGGGTAGTGTGCGCATCACGTGTGGCAACCATAAATAAACAACAACCAACCACAAAAATAAAATGTGGCGCCAACATTGAACCAACCATCATCAGATCAACGGATTGCTGCTGTATTCAGCCAGGTTTCGTGAAGTTAGGCAAACCAAATAGTACCTACTTTAAATTCAAATTAGATTTAAATTTTCACATAGTAAACATACTCACGGGCCGTAAAAATAATTTGGCGGGCCGCCAGTTGGAGAGCCCACTACATTAAAAAATCGTATAAATTTGTTTCAAAACAAAAACTGAAATCTAAGACCTATAGAGGCTAGTTAGTCAGGAGTCTATGGTACATTGAAAAGAAACTTAGAACTCAGTTTTGAACTCTTTCTATAACCATGTTTCTGTCTGTCTACAAATAAATTCTGCTTTTTATCCCAAATAGTGGTTATCTGTATACTGCATAACTACCAAACCAGAAATATGAAAACTTGAAAGATTCTTGCATGAAAAGTAGGAATTTTTGGGTGTTTTAACATTGTACAATGAAAAGAACTTCAAATTTATTTACAATCACTTCATAACACATGATTAAAGTAACTGCACTATTTTCATGATTCTGACATAAAATATATTAATATTTCATTAAAGATTCTTTGGCTAACTTCCTTTTAAAATTTTATTCCTTTATATTGAATTATTTCATTTATATTTATATATATCCTTTACAAAGCCTGTGAAGGAAAGCTTTTCTTTATCATGCTTTTAAATACAATGAAAATAACATTGATATAAAATTAAATAAAAATATTCCTTTTTAATTCATTAAACATTAACTGAATATCTTTAAAACACTCTACAGATGTTGACTATTATGATTTATTAGCCAACTGGCAACAAACACATTTTTTCAACGTTGGCCAGTGCTTGTGCATTGTGCTGCACCTGTGCACGTGGAAAAGATGTGCCTAACCAATTTAGTTTATGTTAGTACATATGTGCAATCTGTCATGAGTCACAACATGTTCGATTAATATTATACAGTGAGAACTGGAAACAAAAATACATAGTTGTTATATTTGGTAAAAATAACGTGTGCATAAAGTATGTTTCTAATTTCTATGTTTGTAATTTCTATTTTACATTTTAAAACTAAATTTATTATATAAATTTCTTCTCTCAAAAATTAAGTAAATAAAAAGTTCTTGCTTCTAATAGGATTTTAAATAAAACACAGGGTGTTAAAATAATCCATATTTTCTTTTGCAAAGTTTCGACATAAGTGATGTCTTTATCAAGCTTATAAATGTTACTCGAAATGTTTGAGTTTTCATTATTTTGTGTAAGTAATATGTATATGTAATCCTTAATTTTTTTTAAATATTTTGACTTTGATATTGATTTTGTTATTTTGTGTAAGTAATATGCATATGTAATCCTTAATTTTTTTATATTTTGATTTTGACATTGATTTCATTTTCTGTTATTTTATATAAATTAAATAAACTATTTTTGCCTATTCTAATTTTTTTGATAAAAATTCGAAAACTGGTTAAAACCAGTTTTTTGGAATACAGTACAAAGTCTGTAATCCGGACTCGTCGGGACTTTGGCGATTCCGGATTATAGATAATTAATTTAAATCTAGTAACATGGCATGCAGAAGTTATGCAATTAAAAATATGAAATCATAATTTATAAAATAAAGAACAATTATGATCTAAAGGGTATCAATATTTACAAAAAAAAAAAAATTAATATTTATTTGTTTACTTTATTAAACATTTCTTTCAATGTAAGTTATTTAAGATGCTTCCACAAAAAATTCAAAAAAATCCTTTTTCTTGTGTGATATATAGTGGACTTTCCAATGCTATACTTCTCACATAATTTTGAGACAGATAGGCCTTTATCCATTTTTTGCAGCAATTCCACTTTTTGTTTAATGGACATCGAAACATTCTTTCGCTTTGTAGATCCTTTGGCAGCTCCAGAATTGGAAACTCTTTTTGATAATTGAAAGTTCAAGCTTAATTTTTATAAAATTGTTCTAACAGTCTGCAAAAAATAATAAGCCGTATCCAATTAGACGATTAAGAAAAAGCGCAATCTGCAACATTAACTGAAATGCCTTAGATAATTTTAGCCTAGCTTATACCATCCGTTATATATTAAACGCAGATGCACATAAAGTTTGTAGCTTTGAGGTCCGGATTACAAACTTTGTACTATACTGAATTTAAAAACTGGTTTTTCAAAGTCTTCTAAATAAAACTTAAAAAAAAAAATAAAAAAATAATATAAGAGGCTTATGTAAAACTTTGATTTAAGCTCCTAATTTTTTGCCAACTAAAATAAAATAATAATAATAATAAATAAATAAAGAATAAAGGATAAAGGAAAAAAGAGAAAAAAACGGAAGGGAAACTTCATTTTGCTTATTTTTGTTACTTCCTTGTACGAAGTAAAGGAAATAGCCTCAGAACGTTGAAATTTTGTATATAGGACTGCTGTAACATGTAGTTGTGCAACTCCTTTTTTGATTGCAATCAGCCCCACATCAAATGTGTATATACTCTGTTACTCTGTGAGCTCAGTTTTTTTTTTTTTAAAATATAATTCTTATATGTTGGTTTTTATAATTCTTTATATAATTGTAGACTTTTTGCTTTAAAAATTATTGAACCATGTTGTTCTTATCTTCTGGTTAAGGTTTTTATGCCTTTAGTTGATTTGCATGCAATAATTGTGGAATTATCAACAATTTAACACGTTGACATCGACCTGACCCACCGGTGGATCATACTTGCCTGTTCTGTGAGGCAGCAAGACAAACCGGTGGGTCATGCTTGATTGTTCTGAGGATTGGCATGACCCACCGATGGGTCACACTAGTATATAAAAGTATTTAGCACAAAATTTTATTTTATTTTAATTATTTAACAGTACACATTAACATTTCAACATTATGATCAAACATTCAATACAAAACAAATAACTTAAAATGTAACTTCTAAATTAAATAAAATTATTCATTTGCTCTGTGCAATTTTTTAAAGCAAGCTAAACAAAGTGCCGGCTTGCCCTTACAATTATTACAATATGTTGTTACTTTCTTTGCTCTATTAGTGGCATACTTAGTACCTTTTAGGCTTGCTGAGCATTTATAGCATTCTTTGCATCGCTTTCTTGTCTTCCTCATGGATCCTTCGTATGAATTTACAAAATGGTTTTTCTTGTTTGTTATTATTACTTCTCGAAAGGGATTCATAACATCCATCAACAGATGATCAATAATTTTTCTGTAAATTTTAAAATTTTGATATGTTTAGTTCCCCTTTTTTATGAATGTACCAAGCATTCATGAGAGAAATTCTGGGTATTAGCTGTATAACAATATACCACTTCACTGTTCTCCGTAAAAAACTATAAAGTTATTTGGTCGGATAGATTCACTTCCTTTTTAGCATCATTGTATGCAAAAACAGTGGCCACCCCATTTAACAGATCGTTAATTCAAGCACGGACACACGAAAAGAGCAACGAATATCTGCACTGCCGTCAACAAGTTAAATGTTGTTTAAGTGCAGCTAAGCCTAACTTTTTCACCCCAGCAGCCATATTTGTTTACATTTGAAACTTGGCAGAATAATAAATTCAGTCCCTCCACCTTCAGTGTCTTTTTACAAAGTGGGACCAAAAATAAACTTTCAGTTTTGTGCACTGAAAAATTTGCCTTGTCGCCCGCAGGCTGTACTGCTTGTTTTTGCGTAGAAACTTTAATTTTAATTGTAAAAATTGTTTCTTTAAACTGTATTTGGTGTTTTATATTTTTCTTTCAATTTTTAATAAATATATCTTGATGTTTAATGTATTTTGCCTTGTTGCACACTGAGAACTGAATTGAATGAGAAATACATCTCTAATGAAATTCAAGGAAATAAGTTTAAATGAAATGCAAGAAAAAATGTGTATAATTTAATATTCGGTACAAGGAAGTCATGTGGTATACACATAAGAATTTTTAGATAAATGTTAAGATAAAACAACAAAAGGAAATGATATGAAAAACCATATTGAAACTTTTTAAAAGTTAAATTTTATATAATCTATAGCTCAATTTATTTTCATAAAAAAATAAATAAAATATTCAAAATTCAATCTTTCAAATGAGAATCCCCTCTAGAAATTCAGGATGTCATAAAAAAAGAAACAAAAAATTTAGATCACAATAACCAGCAAACTTTACTGTGTGTTATTTCAGCACACAGTTAATAAAATATGTCCTAATATAAAACTGTTTCAGCACCACAAGAAGATTTCAAATGAGAATATTTATTTAAATCTGATATTTTATTTTCTTCCCCTCCAGAAATTCAGAATGTAATAAAAACAGAAACAAAAAATTTAGATCACAGTAACCAGTAAACTTTATGGTGATCTAAACTTTACTGCGTGTTATTTCTGCACACAGTTAATAAAATATGTCTTAATAAAAACTTACTGTTTCAGCACCAAGAGTTTGTAAGCCAGTAAAAGTTTTATCCAGCTGGGGAAAAAATAAATAAACTTAATAAATAATGTGAAAAAAATAAACCAAGCAATTCATTTTAATACTCTAAATAATAATCAATTTAAAAAAGATTACATTTTATTATTATACAAAAGAGAACATACCACTGTAAATAATGATATTGAGAGTTGAATATTGTTCTGTGAAGATGAACTTAAGTCAGATATCCTTAATCAAGTGTTTTGTATAAAATCTGTACCATTTTAAGTGTACTTTTATAAAATTTAATATTACAAAAAGAATAAAAATTCAAACTGGAAGAAAAACTATTGAAATAGAACACGTAGTGTAAAAACTGTTCAAATGTATGAAACACAAAAATTGTTCAATAGGTAAAAGTAGTGCTTAATAAAAACACCAGTCAGATTCAAGTGTTAAATAAATTCAGGACATATATTTTCATAAACTGTTGTTTAGGTACTTTCCAGCTTAATGAGCTAAAGCAAAGCACATATTCTATTTTATAAAGCACGTAAATTCATCAAGTTTGCTACATTAAAATAAAGAAACTGCAGCTTTCAGATTATACATCTTAATCCCCAGAAGAGTAAACTAATAACATTTTACAAAAATTACACACTTCATAAAAAAAAAAAAAAAAAAAAAAAAAAAAAAAAAAAAAAAAATTAAACAAAGAATTACATTACAACTAATGTTTTACATTACAGAATTTTTTAAAGAATGCATATCATAAGTCTACAGATGTGTTTATAGATGATGTGTTTACACATTCTTAGAATAATTTTGATAAAAAATTTTATATACATATAATAAGTTTTGAAATAAAAATTTCTGCCAATGGCTTGTTACTAAAAATGAGGGTTAGTTTATATTTTAGGGTGCCCCTTGGATTATGACCAAGTTGTTGTTTCATTTATGGTAACCCGAGTAGTTGAATGTTATGGAAATCCTATTATGACGTGATTGGTTGTGTGATTGCAGTGAATTTGACTGATGGGAAAATATTTGTAAGGGCTTATTTCTGCATTGATGTCACTTAGGAAGTATGCTGCTTATTTTGTGCTGTATGGCTGTATGTAATGAGATTAATCTGAAGTTACTGTATGATTTAGATAAAAAGAGGAAAAAAAAGCATTGACTGGTGTGTAAATGAAGGTTTACTTAGTATTCATTATAAGTCTCCTTTTTGTATGAAGGAAATGCATATGGTCAAGCGTAAAGATAATTCAAATGGTTTTGAATGGGTTTGTCGCATGTAAGGTTCATGCAAGAAATGCTACCGACAGTTCGGGACTATGGAGGATATTTTTTACTGCTATTTTTTGTGAATTTATGTGGTGATGGCAGTATGCATATTCTAGTTCAGATAATTTTAGAAAGTTTGGGGATGCTTTTCAGAAATTTTGTGTGCCATAAACTGAAGACACAGGAGTTTCTAAATAAGGTAAGTCAATATTTCCTTTTTGTAGTGCATATATGCGATAACATGTATTATGTTATTTCATGGGGTGATTTAAAATTCAGTTTATTAAGCTTTGATTGGCTACAAATTTTGTTCAGTTTTGGTGATGAGTAAATTTATTTAAACATTATATGACATCATTATTCTCCTGATTTTTTTTAAGTGAAAATATATCAATGTGTACATGGAAAATGTCAAGGGAGTGTGCAATGCCCAGTTTGTGCAAATTTCTGATTTTTTTTCCCAAGCAAAAATAGATCGATGTGTACATGGACACTAAGTTCGTACAATTCTTTGACTTGTTATTTTGGTTTTGTGTAGCTGCTATCTTGAAATCGTGCCTTGCTGGCCAATCACCAAAAATCGTCAGTTTTCATCAAGAGGCACCCTGGAATATATTTTTAGCAAAATGATAAATATCACCAACCAACTAATCACTTTTAAATTTATTCTTCTTTCAAAATGTCCCATGTAAATAAGTGCGGATTAAAGAACATGTTTTTTTGATTTCCAAAGAGAAATGCTCTATCCCATAATCCATCCATTCTATAACTCAAAGTCATTGTGAAAAATATGGTATTAAAATTTCTAAGTGCAAAATAAGGAACATTATTAGTCGGAAAGGAAACACTATCAACCATTACTTCTACATGTAAAGAAGACTCCAAATGAATACCCGAAAAAGGTATATATCGTTTTAAAAATATCCATGTTAAATAGCTGGTATTTTAAAGACTCCGACTTTCTCATACATGTAAACATATGCACATAGGCTACAGCTTATTTATTTTTTTTAATACACTCACTTCCAAAAATAAAGTACGGAGAGAAAAATGCTAATTTCTGGAAGACAATCAGAATTGAAGAGGATGTAATTCGGTGCAGAGGTAGATGGAAGTATTCAAATATGTTAGGTAACAGCCAATCGTGCTTTCATGTCAAGAAATATGCAAAAAAGGGCAGTCTTATAAGAAGCTAGCTTTATGAAAGGTTACAGAAGTTGATTGTAAGTGCTGATAGAAGGTGTTTAAAACTTTCGTACAATTTGTTTTTAAGACTATATGTTTCTATGACTTCCAGAAGATGAATGGAAGATTCTGAGCACTGACGTGCTGTGGATCGCATTGAAGCAGGATAGTGGATCACAGATGTTGCTCTTTTCTTCGGTGTTCATCATTCTGTAATTTCAAGTTTATGGAAACAATTACAGAGAGTTGTCCAAAGGCCTGTAGCCGGTCGCTCACGGGTTACAACCACCACGGAAGATCGATATATTGCTATTGTAGCCAAGCGGAATCGCAGAGCAACTTCCACACGTGTGACATCTATGGTTACAGCGTCCATTGTTAAGGTGATGTCTGCAGCTACTGTATGCCGAAGATTACATATGAGCAGACTATACGCCCGGGTACCTCGAGTTTGTGTTCCTCTATCCCTCCAATCAAGAGGGTCATGATTACAGTGGTGACGGAACATGTCAATTGGAATGTGTCTGACTGGGGTAATGTCATGCTTACTGATGAGTCAAGATTTGCTCTGGAGCCAGGTGACAAGCGTATAAGGATTGGCATGAACAACGAACATGCAATCAGTCCCAAAACATCACCGAACATCATGCAATTGCGACTCGGAAGCATTATGGTGTGGGCAGGGATTTCATTAGGATACCGCACCGACCTGCACATCTTTAAACGGAGTTCTTTGATGGCTGTCCGGTATCAAGATGAAGTCCTAGAACCCATTGTGAGATTGTATGCTGCAGCAGTTGGCCATACTTTTGTTTTAATGGACGATAACGCACATCCCCATAGAGCTGACATTGCCGAACACTACCTGGAGAGTGAAGGGATTGCGCGAATGGCATGGCCAGCATATTTGCTCAACCTTAATCCCATTGAAAATCTTTGGGATGCTCTCTGCCATGTTGTATATTCCCGTTTCCCACCTCCAGCCACTCTGGAGCTGGAAACTGCTCTACAAGAAGAATGGCGATTGCTTAATTCTTTAGCGGTTGACCACCTAATTGAAAGCATGGTCACAAGGTGTAAACTTTGTATACAGATGAGGGGAAATCACATACCCTATTAATGTCCTTTTTTTTTTTTTTCATTTTTATGCTGTTTGTTTTCACTTTATACATAATTCTATTTAAGTCTCCAATATGTCATTATCTGATAACTTACAAAAATTTAATATTGTTTTCATTTCTGTATATAATTATTGAGTTTGTTTTATGCATAAATATATATGTTACTTTGCTGCTGAATTTTGTGTCAATCAAAGCAGTATTTGCTTGCATTTTACATCTTCGTGCTTAACTTTTGGAAGTGAGTGTATAACAGAAGTAATAGACGCTACAGAAAAAAAAAAAAAAAAAAAAAAAAACTGATGGCCATAGCAAATTAATTGTATATAAGTTTGCATTTATTATGAAATGGAAAAACTGGCATTAGTTATTTCTAAAAAACAGTATAAGCTTCGGCAAGATCTTCCATATTGGAGGGCCATAGATCCTGATTTGATAAACTTCAGAGATGAAGAAGAGTCTTTCCACACTAACTTGAGTAGGAAGAAGAGCTTTTCCTGTTAGGGCTACTTCTTTTAACTTTTCAGGATAGATTTTTATAAACTTAAGTTCTAAAAGAAGATGTCATGCAAGCGCAATCATATTTCTCTATTTCTTCTAAGGCCGTGTAGAAATCTTGTATTTTTTTCAGTTTTGACATCTAAAGGCTTCTTGGTTCTTTCTTTTTCATTCCACTCGCTTTGCCTTAGCCTTTTCAAATATTATCCAAAAATATTTCTCAAAATCTAACTCATCACTGGAAGAGGATGATAGAGACTCAAATGCAATATCTGCAGTTTGACTGTCCTGATTCAAATTCTCCAAATTGTTCTGAGAATAAATTTCATTCTTAATGAAAGTTCATAGATGGCTTCTTTGACTTTTTAATTTGTTCGTCATCCAAGAAAATTCGGTGTTTCAAATCTCCATATATTGAACTCAGCAGAGGTCTCACTGTCTATCAAACTAGTTTCTCTTCTCTGTCTTCTTTAAAGAAATGATTCTTGTTTCCTTCTGCAATAAAACCCTCCATTTCAGAAAGAACAAACATCATATTCTTCCATTCTCACCTTCCTGTCAATTCTTCAGATTGCAGCTTTTTTGTGGCTATATACGGTGTAGAAAGAAGAGTTTCCAATTCTGCAAGATCATTCCACAGTCTTTCTGCTAGTGAAATATTAGGGTTATCTACATCTTCTAAAAAAAGTTCTTAGTTCTAAAATCTCTTTATCATCAAATATGTACTTTCTTATCGCATTGCTTGATCAATAATTGCTCCTTTTCTTGCTAGCTTACTAAGAATGACATCCTTATTGCATTGCTTGATCAATAATTGCTCCTTTTCTTGCTAGCTTACTAAGAATGACATCCTTATTGCATTGCTTGATCAATAATTGCTCCTTTTCTTGCTAGCTTACTAAGAATGATATCAACTTTGGAAATTCTTGCTGCAATTGCTGCTTACCTACATTTAGCAGAGAGATTTATAATTAAATGAAGTAACTAAATGAATCAGTTTAATTACTAATAGCAAATATCACACCCATCTTCCTCCCTTATGTTTATTTATTAATACGTCAATAAAATAGAAAATAACTATTTATTAATATACATAGTCTATAAATAAAAATAATAACTCAGCTTGTCATTAATTTCTTTCAATTCATTTTAATTTCATTTCAAATTCAAACTGTCCAACAAAAACTGGAGTCAGACTGTTTTTAGCGACTCCAGCTCAGACTCCTTTTACTCCAAAATCTGCCCAATTCCGATTCTGAGTCGACAGCCCTGGTACTATTCACCAATTTTGACAAGGCATGCAGCTCAATGCAGAACAATTTGTAGAACCCTGCATGAAAACTATTAGCAAGCAAGAAATAGAAATACATCCTGACCCTTGATGAAGCATAGATTTACCTAAATGACTGCAGAAAAAAGTGTATACTTATTACTGAAAACGAAGAGAAAGAAATGTACAAACCTACTTTTGTCAATGCAAAGAATGTTTCAGTAAGAGGTTTAAGATTGTCTCAGGATTCTTTAACAATGGAAATTAAAAATAAGAGTGAAAACAAATGTTACAATCAACTCTATGTACAATCAAGAAAAAGCTTAGGTCTGATATTTACAGAAGAATTTTAATTTCTTTACCCCAGTGATTTTCAAAGAGCGAAACTTCATCAAGACAAAGCAAAAAGTCATACTTCAAAAAGTACCATGGTATTCCCCCCCAAAATGATGGCTGATATAGGTACTGCACTTATAACTTTTCAATATATTCTTGCAATGAATGTTTTGCCTATGAAATATTGTGCCTTTGATTTCTTGAAAAGAGCATTTTCTAAGCACAAACCCACTATGATTAATGGACTCTGAAAAGTAGTGGAAGACAAATGGAAATCAATACTTCTGGAAATTTTGTGAAAAGCCCTTCTATCATGGAAATCATGATGCAGACTTATAGCCCAGAAAAAATGTTATGAGATTAAACACTACAAAAAATACTCTTCGTATTTTAAACATTAATTAAATGACTCCAAAATCATTCTAAAAATGTGTAAACACTCTATATTGCAGACTCTATATGATAATTTTTAAAACACATAAGAAACATAATTTAACAAAAATAGCATGTAAAATAAATATTGCATGAACACTCCAAAAAAAAAATTAAATGCATGTTCTAAGAAGATGAAAATAAGTAAAATAACAGAATAAACCTAAATCTGCATGCAAAGAAACTGAAATTTAAGATTTTCTCCTTCTTGAAAAGCAACACTTACCTTTAAATTATGAATAATATCTACAGGTTTATTTCGTGGATCGTGGAAATGTAACTGCACACGGACAGGAAATTCTCCCCAACCATATTTCTTTAAATGAAATGGAGGGTTGCTACATAACAAAAATAAGAGCATATTTTATAAATAAATGTGAGCACTATACTGACACACATATTTTGTTTACAAAACAAACATTTATGATGCTTATATCAGCTATAGCAAATATCACACCCATCCTCCTCCCTTATATTTATTTATTAATAACATATATATCAGATATTTATTAATGTACATATATATCAGAATACATATCAGATCTATTTATTTTTAACAATTTTTACATTTTAAACATTTAGAGATATTATACAGGCTAAATGCGATAAAAGTCCTTTTGCAAACAATCATTGTATGCATATATACATACGCACACTCATCAATACACGAAAAGGCAAAACTAAAAGTCCCCCCCCCCAAAGCTGCCTTGTGTTTCACTACACAAAATTATCTATTTATTTTCTTAACTTCTCTATATTTGAAATGCATATAAACATAAGGCCTTTCTAATCTCTCAGGCATGCTAAATATAAATAGCCAGAGATGGAAATAATCCTCCAGACATAGTAGTATACATTAATATAATCAGAATTCATTATGTTCATCAAAATATGTCCTGCCACAAAATATACATTTTAGATATTTCTTGAAAATATAAATGATAATTGATATTTCCATTTACACAAATTAGAAACTATATATGGAATGCTATTTTAAATTATTCAAAGTTTCTAATGACAGACAGGAAAAATTGTCTATACATGTGCTCAACTCAAATCTATACATGTGCAGAAAACACAAAAAATACAGCAAGGTAAGATTTTGCCAAGCTTTTACAGTTTTAAATCATTTAAAACAAAAGGCGATTTTAATAATCTTAGAAGCCAAGGAATTCTAATTTCATTTTATAAAATACCTAGATACTTGGGAAATACTGACAAATGATCATAATTAACCTTACATAGTTATAACTGCTAATGCTTAGAAAATAATTTTTTCATTACTACATATGATTAACATTTCTACATGGAATTACATAATTATATATATTTCACAAAGCATACCCACAGATACAAAATGCAGAAAAAATATGAAACACAGAATTACTATTTAGCATAAGGATAATAATATTACCAACACTGTATGCTTAGCCAACTATGCAAATCCCTCAATTATTTTGCGGCCATATATTTTAAAAAAGCACTATTATACATAATAAAGTTTGACTAGTAGACATAAAAAAGGAACAGCTATTTATTTTTTCAGATCTATCCCCCTCCCGAAATCACATCTCACACTGCAGAATATGCAAATGAATTTACAAGCAGTTACAGTGCACTTTAGCAAACAGTACTGCATTCACCAAGTTGAGCAGATTCAGTGTGAGAAAATACCGACAGAGAACTCCTGACACCTTTGGTATGTAAACTGACAGCAAAAGTCAAATTCTTGTAGTTCATAGTTTGATGAGAGTTAACATAGCAAATTAATCCCTTGAGAGTAGAGAGCTTGAAAAGATATTTAGCTATATACAGGTGGAGTTTAATAAGCCTTTACATAAGTAATGTTACTTGTAAGCCTCAAAATTTGTTAGTTGTGATTATTCTAGTAAATTTCATACTTAGTATTTTAATTTATATATCCGGAAGATCATCAATTATCAATAAACATTTTACTTATTGTTCACTTACTTGGAAATTCATTTTAAGTTAAATTTTGGTGAAAATAATTTGGCCACAACAGTTGAAGAGTAACAGCAATTAAATAGAAATAGAATTAAAAGGTAAGAACTTAACCTATATAAATAACTAATAAAAAAAGTGACTGATAATGGTAGTTTTCTATTAATGGGATGTCAGTCGCTTAGCAAAATGCTAAATGTGGTAACCTGCTTATATCATGTCATGAACAGCTGTGCAATAATGACAGTGTGTATAAATAGAAAGAATGAACATTAATCCAGGAATTATTTCTCCACGATTTTCAATTCCTAATGAAGATAAATGGGCAGCTGTTGGATACGAACACCTAAAAATTAACCACAAGTTTAATGTTATTGATCCTGATATGGATGCCATGTGCAAAATGCCACAATAAACATCATCAGAATAATGCACTGGCTGCCAACATCTACATTCTTACCTCAATGAATTCAACTAGGGGCAATTGCATGAAAAACATAAATTTTTTTGGCATTGTTAAATGACATTGGTAGCTTTATACCTCCTGAGTAATCTGAAGTAATGCTGGCAAAATCTTTTGTATTCATTTATTTATTTATTCTGGATTTAATAAAATACTCACTCTTTTCATGTATTGTTAGGGTTGTCACCATCTTGTTGGATTTCACATTAAATTGTAAAGTATATTTTAATTTTATAACTGTTATTTTTAATTTGTGTTTTCCTATCTTGCTTCATTTTAACTTACAATTCCCTACCCAAATGAGATTTTAGAACTGTGCTGAATGCAAATGAGGAAGAAATAGTACTAAAGAAGTTCAACTTACTTTGAGAGAAGGAGAGCTAGGAATTCTAAGTAGCATGCATTTGCCTTTGGGCTAAGTTTCTCTAAATGCTGTTAATATGCTTGGCCGTACATTACAGGCCAACTACGTTAGAATTGTATTAGCTTTAGTTAAATCTCTTAGTTAGATATATTTAGTTCTTATTTTTTAATTTAAGCCCAAGTGGAGGCTTTGTTGTAAGCCTGTTCATCTTATTTTGAGTGAAATAAAGAGTAATTAACCCTTTTTGAGTTTACAATTTCTGTTCTTTGAACGAAGCGATAATTCACTTAACAGTTCACTAGGTTCCTCAACATTTAATTTAGCAGAATAAAAGTGAGGAACTCTACAAAATGTTTGGCATTAAGTGTTGTCTTGTTAGCAGAAAAGTAGCCCAATATTTTTGCTTCAAATATAGTTTCTGATTGAACAACTAGTTGTATAGGGTTGAAGTGATTATATTTCTTGGCATGAAATAAACATAAATTATGAACTTCTCATAAATTTTTTGAAAGGTGCTTATCTGCCAGGCATACAACCTTTCATGTATGTTGCTCGAATAAATTATAAACTAAATAATAAAGCCAAAAGACTCCTACAGATTTTTAAAATGGCAAATTGCACTTTCAGAATGTTTTTGTTGATGAAGGCTTTCACAATATGCATATGACACAATATTTAAAATAGAAGACATATACATTTATTACAAATATATGCAGACTAAATTAGTTTTACTTCTACATACCTTATTTCAATAACATCAGTTGGCCGATAGCTTGGATGCAAAAGAAATCTAACTTTTTTTACAAAACTTTCTATATTAGGACTGTCTTTATCACCTCTTACATAAACCATCCATCTATGAGTTGACTGATCTTCTCGCTTCCAGATAGGAATAAAGCTAAAAAATATTCCACAATTTATTCTTGATACAAGTAATAACAATAAGAGATAATGCTATATTATTTTTAAAAGAAGTTTATTTATTCAAATAAATTTTTGTATTTTATAAGCAGTCAAACAATATATTTTTAGCAAATACCCAAAATGAAATTGAATTTGGCAAAGATAGGTTATAATTGACAAAGTAAGGTCTCTTTGTAAAACATTAAATAAATATACATAATTAGGATCTAAGGATTTGTTTGGGACAAGTTTTCTTCGGAATAAGAAACTGTAATTATCAACTCTCACTAACTTGGATCACCAGAAATTAGAACCCAGAATACCTTGTAGGATAAATATCATAAAACCTGTCTCTAAATTTATATTATGAAAAGTTTCTTTGAACACGGCCACACATCATTACAATAAAGTGTGCTAAGCTTCTTCTACTGTGGATGTATTCCCTAGTGCTAGATATGCAAAGACACAAGACAATACCATCTAACTTCTTGGAAGAATAATGGCATCTCCATCTCCTGTCAATGCATGTACAGTGCATAGCTGCTGCAAATACACTAAATCAAGAGTTTCTCAAAATTTGGCAACCATTTTAGAGAAACTGTTTATCACAATCGTTTTAATAAAAATGATGCCTAACAGTTATCTAACATAAACATTTTTAAGAGTTACTACATAATCTCTTAGCAAAAATATTATTGAACATCATATACACTCAAGTTGCTGAAAATCTATTTTGTAATAAATGAAAAAAAAATGGAAAGAAGAGCTATACACTTCATTATTATTTTAGCACAGGTCTTGACTTATTGTGTGCAACTTATTAACTATACTGTACTTGTGTAATACCATTCAAATATGATGCAGAAGAATGAAACAATTGAAAAGTGTAATGGTTATGTACTTCTATGGGAAGTCATTATTTCATTATTCAAATCCCCTTCTGATAGAATGAATCTTGCTGCCCATTCTATCTCCTCTTCAAAGATATTTGCTCTGGGAGAGTATCCATTCTTAAACTGTTATGTTGACACTAGGAAATAATTCAGACGACAACTGGATTATAACAGGAATATCATAGCATGTTCCGGTTGCCAATATGTACTTGTGTAATACCATTCAAATATGATGCAGAAGAATGAAACAATTGAAAAAGTGTAATGGTTATGTATTGGATTGGCAACTAAGTAATTGCGGATTTTTTTAAGAAAATCAAAGACAATTTTTTCATGGAACTAAATAACTTTATTCTGTAATGTATTGCCCATTTGATCAATGACCTTTTGCCATCTTTCAGGCAGCATCATAATCCCACGTTCCTAAAACTTCTGGTTTTTATTAGCAAAAAACTGAATCAGGTACGATTTGACATCATCATCATTATTGAAATTTTTACCATTCAAGGAGTTTTGTAAAGATCGAAACAAAAAGTAATCAGATGGTGCAAGGTCAGGACTATATGGTGGATGTGGCAAAACATCCCAACCAAGCTCCAATAATTTTTGCCGAGTGACCAAAGATGTGTGTGGCCTTGCATTGTCATGATGGAATACAACACCTTTTCGATTTGTCAATTCGGGCCGCTTTTCTTCAACTGCATTGTTTAATTTCGTTAGTTGTTCAATGTAGACATCAGAATTGATCGTTCGGTTGGGTGGTAAGAGTTCAAAGTAGACAATTCCTTTGTAATCCCACCAAACTGATAACAAAACCTTCTTTTGATGAATATCAGCTTTTGATGTTGTTTGAGTTGGTTCACCTGGCCTGCTCCACGATCTTTTCCGCTTGATATTGTTGTAAACAACCCATTTTTCATCGCCAGTTATCAGTCGTTTTAAAAATGGATCATTTTCATTACGTTTCTTTAGCAAATCGCAGCTGTTAATGCGTTGCGTTAAATGCGTTTCTTTCAGTTCGTGAGGAACCCATGTATCGAGTTTTTGAACATAGCCAAGTTGTTTTAAGTGATTTTCAATGCATGTATGTGATACATGAAGCTTCTCTGCAATCTCACGTGTTGTACTGTGACGATCCGAATCGATTATTGCTTTGATTAGGTCGTCATCAACTTCAACTGGACGACCAGAGCATTTTTCATCTTTGAGTGAAAAATCACCAGGACGAAATTTGGCAAACCAATTTTGACACTTCCGTTCTTTTAAGGCTTCGTCACCATAAACAGCACATAACTTTTTATGAGCTTGCGATGCGTTTTTTCCTTTGCAGAAATAAAAAAGCAAAATATGACGAAAATGTTCCTTTTGATTTTCCATTTTTCCACGAACGCCAAACAAAAACTATGCAACCGATCAAAAAACGTTTTTTACTGATTGACAGCTGAATTGCCAAATAACAAAATGTGTTTTACATTTCTACTACGTCTGCAACCCTAAAAATTCAACTGAAGGCATCTATGAGTGAAATCCGCAATTACTTAGTTGCCAACCCAATACTTGCATGGGAAGTCATTATTCAAAGTAATCCCCTAGTGATAGAATGAATCTTGCTGCCCATTCTATCTCCTCTTCAAAGAAGATATTTGTTCTGGGAGGGTATCCATTCTTGAACTGTTGTGTTGACACTGGGAAATAATTAAGACGATAACTGGATTATAACAGGAATATCATAGCATGTTCCAGCTGCCAATATGTGATAGATATTGTTCGCCTCATAGTCTGCAAAGCATTAAACTTCAGAAACTTGACATTTCTTCTATGATTAAAAATTTTAAGATGATCCATTGTTTTATGGACTAAGACACTTTCTGCATACTCATTACTCTCACAGACATTACATCTGACTGCCCTAAACAAGATTTTATTACTTTGCAGGTAACTTACAATGGTCAAAATATCTAAGGTCATTGAACTGCAGGAATTGTTAAATTTAAATAATTTTAGTAATCTGTATTATACAGTGTTTGCCATTAAAGCAGCTATAGCAGGAATGAAAGCAAATAGCAAAATCTTATTTATTGTGCGTAAATAATGGTGCTTAAATTTGCAGGTGGTTTGGACTATACATTGTGTAGAATTCAGTACACACAGCTGCTACTTCTGACAGCAACAATAGCTGTAATCCAGCTGAAATCAAGTCAAACTAAGCCTGAATGATAGATATAAATACTATTATATTAGGAACAATTTTGATTACTTTGTTCAGTTTTCCAACAAATCACTGATAAATTCAACAAGTTTACTTTTTACACTTTTATGTTTCGTCTCTAAGATACTTTTCAATTTTGCAGGTTCCATATGCTAATTTGGAAGCTATTTATAAAATGCTATGTACCAAGGTTTTGGTTCGTTCTTATTGCCATGTTATGTAAACCCAAATTCTACATAACTCTAGCCATATTTACAAAAGTATTGTTTTATTGAATAGCTACAAGTATCACAACATACTTCAATATATTAGAATCACTGATATCAATGTCATACATACACATTCTGTACTATTAGCATTGCCTAAATAATGACGACTATCATCATGCTCCCCCCCCCAAAAAAAAAGAATTAGAAGTTAATTTTCCCTTATATATAACATGCACTAAGTGAAAAAGGCAATTACTAACATCTCTCACATAAGAAGGATTTCAAAGGAAATAAAATAGCATGAAAATTATGACAATATAAAAATTAAAATAAGAAAAAATTATTTTGGTGTATATATTAAATAAAATTTTATTAACGCACCATCCCTTGAAATCAACTCAAGTTTTACTTACTATCTACGCCACAATCAGGACACTGTTTTACCTAATTTTAAGCAAACTACACAACAGCTGGGATAAGAAACAAGTGATGAATCAACAATATTTATCATTTTTCATATGTTGCTTATGACTGGCTATAAAAAGTGGAAAGAGGAAAGTATTCTAATTTGAATTTTTGGATTCTACTTTCCAGATTTTAAAACAGGCAGAGTTTAAAATTTCTCCCATCATCTGTAAAAATAAAAATCAAAATATTAACATAGAAGCGTATCAGACTGACATTTCAGTACATCTCTAAAACTATTAGGAAAGTCTCAAACACATGAAAAGCAGGTTGGGTGCTTTGGTGCACTGTGATGAATTGGGATTCTATCCAGCTGGGCTGTAAGTTCAGCACCAGAATTCAGCAAAAGGATGGCAAGAAGCACCACATTCATATCACTAAATCCCTCTTTTGCTACTAAGACTGCAGTGGTAAATCCATTGGTAACTGGCAATAAATTTCATAAAATGTCTTTCTTGGGAGAAAACGTAATTAAGGTTCACATGCAATGATTGTCAAGTATAATTTCCAAACTTTAAGATTTTCAGCTATAGTGTGATGTGCGCCAATACATTTTTTTTAGAAAACTACAAAGACCACAAGGGCAGGCAGGCTTTGAGGACCACTTGTGCTCTGCGGATCACAGATTGCAAACCTCTATCCTAGTATATTGCATGAATATCATGTTTTATATAACATTATAAGTTATCCACACAATGGGAGCTAATATACTTTACAACTATGCAACAGAGTCTAATAAATCTTTTATTTCAAAACAATACATTACATTTAAATCAAAAGCATCTAATACATTTTCCTCCTCGCAGATTTATTACAGAAAACTTTTTGACAACTGAAAATCAAACAGATATTCATATACAATTTAAGGAAAATATTTTTTTAAATTAGTTTCAGAAAGAATTGTCATTTTACTTTATAGTGAGATTTCCTTCTGTTTGAAATACTGCTATTAAAATTTTAATTCAAATTAAATTCTGTAATAAAAAACATCGTGAAAATTCCATAACATTCACAAAAATAAATTACATTTCATAATTATCACTTACTTTGATATATTTCCAACAATTATTTTTGCCTTTGTTTTAAACCTTGGAGCTCGTGTAGGAATGTCATCATTCTTAGCAGAGCTGGATAATTCCAGCCCGATCTATAAAATATTAAAAGATTACATTTAAAAAACCATATTTTCTAAGTAGTTTAGTTACTTCATTTCATATACAAAACTTCTCACATTAATACCACAAAAATCAGTTTAAAAGAAATTATATACAGCTACATTTCTGATATAAAAGACAAGCAGGAATTTACAGTTTTGAGATGTATAAATAATAAATAACATACACTAAAATATTTATTTCATAAAATTTTAATACATTCAAAAAGTTTTATAGAACTCTCTTGTTTTTTAGGACTTGAAACTCATAGTAACAGAGATATTTCCCCTAGAGTACAGCCAGAATGGGAGCTAATATACTTATATATGCTGGAACAATTCATAAGCAATTTGGATTTGAAAACCACAGGCCTGTAGTAATATCTATAATGAAACAGCCGAGATTGCATAAACCAAAGAAAACAAAAGAACAAATTTACCCTACAGCCAGACAGTTGATATTTTAATGTACTTGATGATAAAAGGCCCGATTTAATCTACAGTATGTGATTTCTATTAGGTCACTTGAAACTTATCTGTTGAGGATACAGAAAGAGTGAAGACAATGTTTCTTTAAATAGCTGTTATACAGTATTTCGATATCATTTATCAAGTGACAGGTACAGGAGAAGTCTTACAACAATTATAACTAGTATCATAAAAAGAGTTACCACTTGGCAAATGATAGATAGAGCATAATAACTACTTGTTTTGGAGGCTGAAATTGTAATAACATTAAAGACACCCAAAATCTTTTGGTTTCACAGATTTTATTATTGGTTTCACAGATTTTATTAAGAGATACTGAATCTGAAGGAAGTGCCTATATTTCAAGTAGATTTTGCAGGTAGCTATAAAGCTAGAATAAAATTAATAATTTCATCAAAGGACTAAGCACATAAAAGCATTTTATTCCCTCCCTCAAAAAAATTTTATGAAGGGAAGCTGTGCATGAAACATACCTCAATGACAATTTGCTAACATCATGTCAAAATTCTCTCAGAAAGATATGGCTACTGATCAAATCATATTAAGACACTTCCAAAAGTAAACTGACTTTTTGGAATATACGATACACTTTCCTTGAAAGTACTGAAGCATCATAATCCTGTAATGATTCCATTTTATATGTTAATTATTTTCCATTTCATATTAAGAGATGATACCTGCATATTACTTTTTTTTTATTTATGTGTAACATGCAGCTATTTTTATTTATGTGTAATACTCCATTAAGTATAGTACCTCAACTTACTAGTTGTTGACTTGTAATTTTGAGTTACGTGTTGACTTGTAATTTTGAAACATTTTAATACAATTAAGTATTATCCCAAAACTACAGATCCATTTAGTTATAAGTGCAACCAAGTGGAAAATTTAAATCGATTTTATGTTGTTAATTCAATGAAACACTTACTTCAGGCACTAATAATTATAACAAGAATACTAACAGCCAACTGATGTTTAAAAATTTCATTGTAGCAATGTAATTTTAAATATAAATATCAAGGGTGTTCAAATGAAAAGGTATGAAATGACACTATGGATATATTACTTTTTATTCATAAGCAATCACCAAAGACCTAAGCACAACTATCCCACTGTTTCACGACCCGGAGGATATATAACCACCATCCAGTGGAAAATATCGGCCGGTGTAACCGCTTCAACAATCACAAACCTGATAACACCTGCCTGCTACTCACTCGCCGAATTTTACAATATGAAAGCAATGACATCTTCACACGCACTGCTGCATCAACTGGATGGAGCACACAACTGCCTATTTCTTTCCCATGAGATGCGTGAGCGCCCGCATATGCACACAACCACGCCAGACACTGCATTCGCATCCTTAGATATCTTATTACGTTACGCCAAAGCAGCATATTGAAATTTCAACCGGATTAATTTTTATGACATTTTATACCTTTTCATTTGAACAGCCCTCATATTTTGTTATGTATAAACAATATCTAATTGTACTCTGGCTGTAATGAGCTTCAAGGGACCAGAAATTTGCTTTGCTGTATCTGATATGCTAAAAAAAAAATGGAATATCTCACAAAAATATGCAAAAACTGAATAATGAATAAAAAAACCCAATTAGTACTGGTATATATAGCAGAAATGAATAACAAATCTAATTAAAAAGCATTAAGATTTGATTGCAATTATTATTAAATTTTTTTGTTCTTTTCCAGTCTTCTCAGAGTATCTGAAAAATTCATTAGCCTTTCTCTGAACCACTTCAGCAATGCTTCATTAACATCCCTATGATCCTTTTTTCTCAATTCTTCCTCATATCCAGTTTTCCCCCCATGAGCAGAAATTATAGAGTTTACATTTTTTATACAGTACCAACTACAGATTGGGATAATTTTTTTTTTTTTCAAGATATCAAATTGGCTGCATCCATTTTATATTTTTCAATGTTCCTCTACCTTCAATGCAGAGCCTGTACAGAGCAGAACAATGCAGAGCCTATCTTCAATACAGTTCACCATGAAGATGAATTTTTGATTATAGAAATAGTGCAAAGAGTTTGGTGAAAGAATATGCAAGAATTTTGCTCTTCTGGAAAAGATGAAAAAGGAAGATAACCTATGTCTTACCCAGTGTTTTGTGAGAACACAATCATTTCTCCCAAGATGTGTATGGCTGACATACAAAGATTCAATAACCTTCATTAAGAATTATCAATTGTCTTGTAAAGACATAAATAATGCAAAACTCTTGATCAGACGGGTGAACTTGGCATGTACAGGGGTTGGACAAAAATATGGAAACACCTTTAAAAAAACATGTTTCTTTGCTTAATATGGTGTAGGAAACCCGTTGGTATCCAAAACAGCTTGCAGTCTTCTCGGAATGGATAAAAAACAGTTCCTGTATGTTTGCCATGGGAATATTATACCATTCTTCTTGCAAAACGGTGGCAAGTTCAGATAACGATGTTGGCGGTGGATAACGAGAACGCACTTTCCGTTCCAATGTAAACCACAAAGGTTCGATAATATTCAGGTCTGGTGACTGTGGTGGCCAGGGGAGATGGGACGATTCATCCTCGTGCTCAGAAAACCAGTCCTGGACAATGTGAGCTGTGTGAACAGGGGCTTTGTCGTCTTGGAAGACACCATCACCATCGGGGAACAAAGTTTGTACCATGGGATGAACTTGATCGGCCAAAATGTTCACATAAGTCTTGGCAGTCATGTGCCCTGACACAGTTATCATGGGGCTAGCAGAGAACCACGATATGGCTGCCCAAACCATAACAGAACCCCCACCATGTTTCAGTCTTGGCAACAAGCAGTCTGTATTATAGGCTTGAGATGGCGTTCTCCAGACGTAAACTCGGCCAGAAGTGGGAAACAATGTGAAAGAAGACTCGTCAGACCATATTACTCGCTTCCACTGCTCTATAGTCCAGGCTTTATGACTTAAACACCACCTTTTCCTGTTACGGGCATTAGCATCACTGATGAGTGGCTTCTCGATTGCAGCACGGCCAGCAATTCTCTGTTTATGAAGCTCCCTTCTAATTGTTTTGGTACTCACAGGGTTTGGTAACACAACATTCATTTCAGCAGTAACTTTTGCAGCTGCGGTCTTCTTATTTTTCGTCACAATTGCCCTTAATGATCGTCTGTCACGATCACTCAGGACACACTTTCGTCCGTGCTGTGATTTAGCAGATGATGTTTTTCCGCTTTTCAAATATGCGGAATAAATCTTCAATGCAGTACCTCTTGAAACACTAAACACCTCGGCTACCTTGCTTACGGAAGCACCTACCATACGTGCTCCAACAATTTGCCCACGTTCGAAGTCTGTTAACTCTGACATAATGCAATGACAACCTCACATAACAGTACTCCGACAACAACTCAACTGTTTAGCACATTTACGAAGTTGTATAGGTGGCGTCAGTAGTCAAAAACGCCAGCGCCACCTACATATTTCATTAAAATCAATCTTTCTTTTCAAACGTGCATTTCACAAGGTGTTTCCATATTTTTGTCCATCCATTGTATATTCAGACAAAACAAATGATTAGAATCAAAACTTTTCATTCCCTAAATACTATAAAATAGCAAGCTCATATGATTCACTGCTTCCTCTTTCCCTGAATAGCGAAAATTTCAAAATTTTCATAATAACATTTGCCTTAATACATTTGTCTCTAGCAATTCAGTCAAAGAACTTGAATGGAGAACCCATTAAGATTTATTAGTTCAATAGTCATGTACACCATATGGTCTCATTGTATCTTTGTTTCTCCTCGAGTTGGATGTCACATATGCCTTTTAAAGCCTTTTTTTAGAGAAAAGTGGGGGTGACGATCAAGGAGGTTAGAATAAATGGAGCAAGCCTTCCCCATATGCCCCATGCAATGAAAATGAAGCCATGAAGTGTCACGGTTTGACGTTACTACTTATCATGGCCACTGCCATACATAGAGTTCTGGTTGGTTTTGTTTACATCCTAATCAATATTGTCTACATGTTACCTATTCATCATTGAACATTAGCTATTTGTCAGAGAAGTCTCTTATTCTAATTTTAACACTTAGAAAAAAAGATTTTCTACTTGATATATGGGAAAATCATTGCAAATAACTGTTTCAAATTTAATAAAATTTAGGGACATGAAAATGTGTTAATGGTAATTTAAAAACAAACGGTAAAACCCAGACGACCAATAGAAATTTCAATGGTGTTTTATGCAATTTATGCCTAAAGACAGTTTTCTGAACCTGCGAATGTTGATATTTGCTCTCAATGTCAGTGTAACTTTATTTAACAGTATGTTTCAAAGTCATATCTGTATGCTGGTCAAGATAGGTCATAAAGTCAGGCTGACATTTCCTTGACTTCATTTTTGTGACATCATGCTTACTCCATCTATTCTAACCTCCTTGGTGAAGTTAAAAGAATAACAACAGGAAAGTGTTTTCCTTTATGGAAAGAATGTGGATCCTAATATCCTAAACACGGATGACTGCAGGAATTTTGGGGAAAATATGAAAAATGGAAAAACGTTTCAATTGAAGATATCCATACAATTTTTTAACATATGATTAACAATATAAAACAGTATGAAGTATGTTGGAAATCAATATGACCAAAGTGTTCGATCATTATGCTCTATCAATAATAGTGAGTGAGTTTCATAATAGTGAGGTTTTTATTGTAATATTAAATAAATCCTTGAATTTGCAGAAAGGATAGAAAAATAAATGCAATTCTTGAGGGCTTAAACAAAAATCAGCAAAAAAATATAAATGGATATATGTTCAAGTGTATAATCTAAATGTAAAGAACAGTTGGTTCAAACTATTTTCAACGTAGGACATTTAATATATACCTTTTCAGCATTCTGAGATGATGGTAAATCATTAGAATTTGAATTGGAATAATTTTCTATTACTGGAACTTTGCTTGAATTTGTGAAAGTATTTTCATTATTATCACTAGACACTTCAGTTGAATTGTAGTTTGTAAACCTTGGAGTTTTACCCAAAAACTTTTTAACCGTAGGATGAATAGAAGGCGCAGAATTTTCTGAAGGCATCTAAAAATAAAATAAAACTATAATTAAAATGAGGATATATAATAAATAGAAGTTGTTTCCAGGCACAAGTAGCACCTGTTTAAAAAGGAATTATAAAATATAGTACATATTAATAATTATGAATTTAAAAAAGGGGATAAATTTTTAAATTGCAGGTACTTTTCTGTTTCGCCAGCGCAAATCTCGCCAAGCAGACTTTGTTGGTGACAACACATAGTATACACATAAAAATGTTAACGAATGTTAGTTCTAAGAATTTTTTATTTTTAAGGCATAAACATTTTAATATGGTTTAAAATTTTGTAAAATGCCAATAAATAAAGACAAATTTGTAAAAAGACATTAATTTAAGAATTTAGTATGCATTCATGGTTCAACATCCTGATTCGCCAGTTTGTATCACATGCCCCCAAGTGATCTCATCTCGCATAAACTACGCTACAAAAATCTAATTTTCTCAGTAATTATCTGCATTAATTTCAAGTTAAATTTTAATTTGGGATACAAGTTTAAATGCAAGAATTATTTCAATTCGTATGAATAGCTTACTCAGAAATTATATAAAACTGTAGTGCATTCTCACTAGAATTGATGAATTTAACCCTTGATTTTGCCTTTTCTATATTTTCGCTTTCGGGTGAGTGGTGTGATTGCATTCTAATTGACTTAATCACCGCAAATCAACTTAGGGCATAAAGTTTAACTATCTTGTAAAAATTTTATGTAATTGTTTGCCAGTATTGAAAGAAACAATCAATCTGATAAGAAATGGTTGCAACTTGTTTTGAAAATGAGGCGTAAAAGGTTACCAGCGAAGATGTTCCGTTTGGCATCAGTTATATCATTATTGGCGACTTTATCGTTTGCGCCAGCAAAACGGAAAAGTACCAAATTGCATTTTTTATGTTATAAGGTATTTTTTTCACCTTTCTGGCGTGCCTTCGTGGTGTAGTGGTCAGCACACTGGGCCGGTATTCCAGAGGTCCGTGGTTCTATTTCCAGTGAAGATGATTGCTTTTTTAATCTTGCCTGCTTCAAAAAAATACCTAATATCTCTACAACGTAAAACTGAAACTACCCTAGCTTTCTCTTGTTAAATGGAATTTCTCTTTTTGGAAAGATCCAATTTAAAAAGCAAGGAAATGGTTTTATTAATCTTTTTTCAAATAATATGAAAATTTAGTGAAATATAAAATAATTTTTTACTTTGTTCAATTCTTAAAACTGGGGTCCAAAAAATGTTAATATTTCTTAATTAAAAATATTTGAAATTTGTTTAATAGCAAATTTATCAAACATCACTTTCACTGGAGCTTGAGAAAACTGTATACGATTGATTATATGTACAACTGACCCTCAATACAATATCTTACTCAAAAGAAAAAAGGCATTTTAAACAAGTGTTTGCTATAACTAAAACAAATTCGATATATATTGTCATCAGATAGGCATTCTCTGTGTAAAGATTAACACTGTAATAATTGCTATAATGGGTTGTTTTAATAATGAGGTTCCAAAGCATACATCAGAAACTAGATAACAGAATTGTAGTCCTATATAGTTAATTTTACCTGAACTTTGTTAATATCATTGTCAAATTTATGAATTTACTAGTGATCCTCCTACTGCAAACAGGCATTTAAAGTACATTACATTCAAGGGGAGGGACTTCTTCAGTTTAAACAAAATTGTTAAATGGAATTTCTCTTTTTAGAAAGATCCAATTTAAAAAGCAAGGAAATGGTTTTATTAATCTTTTTTCAAATAATATGAAAATTTAGTGAAATATAAAATAATTTTTTACTTTGTTCAATTCTCAAAACTGGGGTCCAAAAAATGTTAATATTTCTTAATTAAAAATATTTGAAATTTGTTTAATAGCAAACATCACTTTCACTGGAGCTTGAGAAAACTGTATACGATTGATTATACATACAAGTGACCCTCAATACAATATCTTACTCAAAAGAAAAAAAGCATTTTAAACAAGTGTTTGCTATAACTAAAACAAATTCGATATATACTGTCATTAGATAGGCATTCTCTGTATAAAGATTAACACTGTAATAATTGCTATAATGGGTTGTTTTAATAATGAGGTTCCAAAGCATACATCAGAAACTAGATAACAGAATTGTAGTCCTATATAGTTAATTTTACCTGAATTTTGTTAATATCATTGTCAAATTTATGAATTTACTAGTGATCCTCTTACTGCAAACAGGCATTTAAAGTACATTACATTCAAGGGGAGGGACTTCTTCAGTTTAAACAAAATTAAATACTGAGTTTAGCAAATGGAGTTTTTATGCATATTCTCCCTAAATGTTACCATTCTGATGACCATACATCCTTTCACAACTTATTAGAAATATAAGAATAAAAACTAAATAAAAAATATTTCAGAAACATTTATTTTTTTTCCTTACTATTAACCTTACTATTATTACTACTTACTATTTCCTTACGATTATTACTTAAACTATCATAGTTTTAATTATGATTAAAATTAATGAAATTAATAATGGTTTTAATATTAACCCCTTAACGCATTTGCCCGTGTCTCACACGGCCGCCCTTGTATCTCGCGTTTATTTCTAATGCTTGTCTGAGATCCGTTCCAGTAAAAATAAATAGGCTAGATTATAATTAAACTTATTTGACATAGATGGCACCACTATTCAGCATTTTTCTTGTGTAAACCACGTGGCGCATTTTGATGATTAGCTATAAGTTTGCTAGGAATTCTTTGCTATAAAGTAGTCGTTTGGTGTGGAAAAGGTAATATATCCATTTTTATTACGTAAATATAATAAAAGTAAGCAGTTAACTGCAAATTATATTACTAAGTGTTTTTGTAATTTAAAAAAAGTTATCTGATAATGAGCGACTCTGACGATGACAATTTTGAATATGCCAATTTATCAGACAGTTTCAGCGATGAGAGTGATGATTTCTTGAGTGATGGAAGTGAATCGGAAGATAATGACAACGAGATTTTGGATATAGCAAGGAATTGGTATCAAATTAGTATAAATCAACCAAACGTTGCACCACCGAGATTTCAATTTGAAGCTAACCCTGGCTGTTATGCATATATATGATTATGCAATATGATTATGCATGAATATGATTATGCAAGAAAAAAATAGGTGATTTTTTGACCGAAAATTAGAAATTAATGTGTGTTTTAAGGGGTTAATGAAATGCTCAAATTAAGATTGGCAAAATTAGCGAATGTATTAACTTGTAGCAGTGAATAAATTCCAAAATCATATATTACTAATGCACAGACTATAAAATTAATGCATAAAATAAAACGAAAATTATATGCTGTAATTACCTGTTCTTGTCCTAATGTGGCATAATATTTTGTTATTATACATGCTCTTAGACGATCCAGCATTGCTCGACATTCATACAAATGCTGAAAAATTATTGTACTTATGTGACTCTTTCTAATGTAAAAGTTTTTATAAAACAAAAATAATCATAATAATAAAACAAACATTTTTTCTAAGCAAAGATGTTAAGAAAACAGTTTCAGTTATCATCTTTGATAAAGAGCACAGACGAAGTTAACATTGCCTTTTTTTAGAAAGATGCCACATCTTTCTAAAATAGGCACTCACTTGAATGATTAAAGCAAACAATACAATAACTATCCTGTTTATCAATAATATTGAAAATTTAATATCCTAAAGAAAACAGAAAACTGGCAGGGAAAATAATAAATACTTCAGTTGTGTACAAATAATAATCATATCCAATGGGTACAATATAATTAAATTAAAAAATTATATAACTTATTACAAACGTGTTAAAAAATTAGATACTACAGTCAAAAGTCTTTAATCCGGACACGTCGGGACTTCGACGATTCCGAATTATCGATTTTTCCGGATTATAGATCATAAGTTTAAATCTGGTAAGATGGCATGCAGAAATTATAAAATTAAAAATATGAAAGCGTAATTTATAAAATAATGAGCAATTATGATCTAAAGGGTATCAAAATTTACAAAAAAAGAAGCTTAATATTTATTTGTTTACTTTATTAAACATTTCTTTAAACGCGCGTATGCGTAAAGCATACCCTACGCATAGCCGGAATTACAAAATTGCAACCAGAAAACTATTTGATTTGTATTCGTGATATTTATAATGACGAGAAATTTGATTTAAATCATGTCAAAGACGGAGTACATCGAGATTAAATACTACATTTAATAAGGAATTATAAGCCGAATAAAATAAAAACATCTGCCCTAAAGATAACGATAGTGCTGACAGATCAACTTCCAGTTCATAGCGCGCCGCCACGTCTCCCCCCCCCCCGCGCAGAGCAGCGTGAAATTGATAAACAGATGTCGGAACGGTTAGATAAACAAAGGATATGCCTTTATCCATTTTTATAGCAATTCGTTTTTTGTTTGATGGACATCGAAGCATACTTTCGTTTTCTAGATCCTTTGGGAGCTCCAGCATCGGAAATTCTATTTGACATCATCGAAAGTTCAAGTTTACTTTTATAAAATTGCTCTTACAGTCTGCAAAAAATAATAAGCCGGATCCAATTCGAAGATTAAGGAACAACGCAATCATCAACATTAACTGAAATAGATAATTATATAATTTTAGCTTATACCATCCGTTTTACATTAAACGCGCACGCGAAAACGTATTCTGCGCTTGCGCAGACACATATGCGCAGTCGTAAATGTCTTGCGTGCACGCGTAAAACGCCTATGCGCATGCGTCAACGCGGCGCATGCGCAGAAAGATTTTAGTTTTGAGGTCCGGATTATGGGTGTCCGAATTAACGACTTTTGACTGTATTCGGTTTCGAGGGCCGTAAAAAAATCGCCAAACTATTGTTGATGCCAATGCTGCCAAAAATAATTGCAGCAACCCTAATAATTGCGGCAAGAAAGGAAGTATAATAGTAAATAATTATTTAAGATTGATGTGTTAATTTAGATGAAAGGTTTATTTCATATAATACTTTTTTATTATTATAATTTATATGAAAAAGGCTATACATGACTTAACCCCTTAACTGCCGCGGGTGTATATATACGCCTTGCTCAGCTGATGCATTAACTGCCCCAGGCGTATATATACGTCCTTCCAAACTGCTATTATTTGCTTTGCGCTGCTACGCCTAAAATTATTCGCAAAGTTAACTCATCAGCTGCGCATCTGGGGCAGTTAACGCATCGGCTGAGCAAGGCGTATATATACGCCCGCGGCAGTTAAGGGGTAATGGAAGCATAAAAGTAAATAACTATTTCATATCATTATTATATTTTATATAAAAATTCCTAAACATAACTGAATGGATGTCTGCATCGTTATTTCGCTACCGACTTATCGCTAAAGCATAATTTCACCTCGTTGGTTGTTCAAACCTAGTTTTCTATAATGAATGATGTCTTTCCTTGGAAAATATTCTCAGTAAAGTGCAGAATCGCTCACTTATTTGTTTGCCGCTTTTTACAAGGGAAAAAACAAATGGATTTTTGTCAATTTTCTTTTACTTTTTAAGAGAAAATACGTCGAAGTGTACATAGATAAAGTCAAGGGTATGCGCAGTGCCGTTTTTGTGCAATTCTAAGGTTTTTTTTTTTTTTTAAAGTGAAAATAGGTCGATATGCACATGGATACCGAGTATGTGCAATTCTTAAATTTGCCTCAAGCAGTAGGTGATTCTGCACTTTACCAAAATTCTATTGCCGACTTTTTGTCATGGGCAATTCCCAAATTGTTAAATCCATACGATATCAAAAAAGGATTTAAAAATTAAACTAGTATTTCAATTGGTCTTAAGAAATATAGAACTAAGTAAACTTACACAATCTGAAATCAGCGCGTATACACTAGATTTGGTGTGCTGTTAAATGGGTGCGTTTGCTAGATTTGGCGCTTTTGCACGTACATTTTTGCTGCAATTTTTTTAAGGCCCTCGAAACCAAATAGTACCAAAAATTAAATTGATTTGAATTTTTGCAATTATATATATACCAGGTTGTTCAATAAGTTCGCGGAACGGAAATGAAGAAACCAATTTTTATTTGTAAAAACGACTTTTACAAATAAAAATTGTTTTTACATATAAAAATTTTCAACATAGTTTCCCTCGACTTCAATACACTTATTCCAACGGTTTTCTAATTTATGGATCGCAAAATATCCCCCTCCCAGCAGCTATTACCTATCTTCGTTTGAAGAAAATCGTTTTCTACGGAGATATTGTTTGAGGTGTGGGAAGAGCCAGAAGTCGGAGGGAGCTAAATCTGGCGAATAGGCTGGATGTTGCAACAATTCGTACTTCAATTCAGTTATTTTAGCAACGGTTTTTTTAGCTGTCTGCGCAGGTGCATTATCTTGGTGGAAAATGATTTTCTCCTTCTGTAATCCGGGTCTTCTTTCATGAATTTTTTCATCTAATTGATTCAAAAGGTTACAATAATAATCTGAATTAATTGTTTTGCCAGTTTGAAGGTAATCTATAAACAAAATTCCTTTCACATCCCAAAAAAGTGATGCTAACACCTTCTTGGCTGATTTTTGGACACGAACTCGCTTCGGCGCTGAAGAGCCGGGTTCACACCACTCCTTAGCCTCCTGTTTTGATTCAGGATCATGATGGTAGACCCAAGTCTCATCCATTGTGATAAATCGACGGCTAGTCGCTTTTATTCTTCTTAAAACGCTCCAAATGTTGCTGGCAAAGTCGCATCCGAATGTGTTTTTGCTCCATTGTTTTTGCTCCATTGTTAGAGAATGCGGCACACCCACACACAGAGTTTTTTGAAACCCAAATTAACACTCAAAATATTGCTCACTGTGCCCAATGAAATGCCTAAAGCCTCTGTTAAATCTCTTTCAGTCAATCGACGGTCTTCCAATACCATATCTTGTATTTTTCCGATGATTTCCAGTGTTGATGCAGTTTTTGGACGTCCCTCTCGCGAATCGTCTTCAAGGCTGGTACGACCACTTTTGAATAAACTAGCCCACTTGCAAACCATTGTTTTTGAAGGAGCAGATTCAACCAACACATTCACCATTTCAGTATAAATTTCCATTACCTTTAAACCTTTCTTTACAAAGAATTTGATAATTGCACGTTGCTCAATTTTATCCATACCTGAAAAAAGGCACAACACGTTAGATATAAAAGGCGGTTAAACAATGAATAAATTAACAGATCGAAATGAAACTTTTGACGTGTTCCTAATAAAGAACAAATATGAAAATGGCGTCGAAGTTTTAGGTCTAATATTGATGAATAGATGGCGCTCCGCGAACTTATTGAACAACCTGGTATATATGTATATACATTATTAAAAAAAAAAAAAAAAAAAAACCAAACAGTTTAAAAGTACAGCCACTGTTCTCGCACTATATTTCAAAAGTTACATAAAACTAGCACATATGCATACTAAACACTCAAATTATTATTTTGAAATTTTAATAAATGCTCTACCTCTTTAAAGGGCATACCATATTTACGAGAATCTAATGCGCATCGTTTTTGGCCAAATATAGTACTCAAAATTGGGGTGCGCATTAGATTCGAGTGCAAAGTTCGCCGATGACGTCAACCGAATTAAATCGTAACAATGGATTACTGCATTTCTCGACTACATTTACCGTTACATTTATCGTTGACACATTATTGCATAGAGGATACAAACTGCAGAGTATGTAGTCACGAGATGGAGGGCAAGCAGAGAAGAATGTCATATGACGCTACTTTCAAATGTAAAGTAATTCTTTATCCTGAAAGAAATGGCAATAGAAAGGCTGGGAGAGAGTTAAACGTAGCTGAGAGCAATGTTCGCTTGTGGCGGCAACAGAAATTGGCACTGTTTGCAACTAAAACTAGTAGAAAGAAATTCACTGGCCTTCGCAAAGGAAGACACCCTAAAATTGAAGAAAAAGTTTTGGAATTTGTACGTGAAAGGAGGAAGAATGGACAACCTGTGACTAGCGACACTATAAGAAATAAAGCAAAAGAGGAGGCTGAAGTTCTTGGAATACCGAAACGAGAGTTTAAAGCTAGTCGTCGATGGGTGGATCGGTTTATGAAGCGAATGGGCTTATTTCTAAGACGCCATACAACAATATGCCAAAAGCTTCCTGCAGATTTTGAGGGAAAACTACTAACATTTTAGCGGTATGTCATCACACTTCGGAAGGAAAAGAATTTTTCAATGGGGCAAATTGGCAACGCTGACGAGACGCCAATTTGGTTTGATATGCCTCGTAACTACACCATTACGGAGAAGGGGACTAAAAACGTTATCATCAAAATAGTGAATAAAGACATTTACTATTAATCACTGATTGTAGAAACTGTTAGCTAGATAGAAATGTTACCATTTATTTCATGTTCATACTTTACGATATGTACCGTATATACGGTAGTGGTAATTAACAATGATTGTTTCACATAACAATAGCCCACTAATAGGTTAATTCTATGTTCTGTTACTTTATGTATAAATCCATTGTTGTATAAAATATGGTATCTAAATTTAAATAAAATTATCATACCATTGATTGATAGTTTATATACAAATCCATTGTTGTATAAAATAAGATTCAATAAATTCCTCATACCATTGATGCGCATTACATTCGCCGACAAACAATTTTTTTATTATTTAAAGTTTTAAAATGGGGATGCGCATTAGATTCACATAAATGCGGTATATTGGGTCACATAAAAAGTCTCCGTGTTTTTGCCACTAGATGGTGTTGATGCTTATATATCTGGTAACACTCACCCGATTGTCTCAAACGAACATGTGCTTAAAAGGCGAAATCAGCTTCCATTGTTTGTGGAGATAAATCTCTAATTCGTTGCTCATGTAAAAAATTATATTGATTTGAAAATGAGTGAAATATCTGAAGAAATACACTATGTGATGCATTTTTATTATTTTAATACTATTTTATTATTTATTATTCTTTGTGAAAAATACAATGAGAATGCTTTGAGTGAAAGAATAACCAAGGAGTGGTTTTCTCAATTCTATTATGGAAATTTCGATGTCAAAGATGCTCCTTGATCTGGTAGGCCAGTCACCAAAAAAAGTCTATGAAATTTTGCAACTGGTGGAGCAAGACAGGCACACAAGCTGTCAGGAAATAGCAGAGGCACTAAACATCAACCACATGACAGTTTGGAATCATTTGAAAAGAGCAGCCTACAAAAAGAAGCTCGATGTTTGTGTGCCACGTGAGAAACTGTCTATTATGAGCTGCTGCAATCTGGCGAAACCATATTCTTAATCACACACTAGTTTGGATGTGATATGTATCTTCTACAATTTTAAATAATTAATCGCATCTCAAGACAATCTCAAGACAATAGTAAGCTGAATAACATGTGCATGCAGAGTGAGAGAAAGGTAGGAAAGTAAGTGCACATATCAGTAGAGGAAGACTTATAGAGTCAGTTTCTTTGTTTAAATTTTACACTGTGATTGGATAAAAACTACCCGTATTCTACTCTTAACATAATAGTGTAATTCAGATCAACTTTTCAGTCAAGCACTTCAGATTCAGATATCAGTAGTTTTAATACAGGAAGAGGACGTAGCCAAATTAAAATTAGAAATTAAAAGAACTATTGCTATATTAAAGTTATTCATTTTCTTTCAGATTTTATACACACTATTTCACATTTTTTTTTTAAATTTACAATTATATTTATTTTTCATAGTTTGCATTTCTGTTACTTTCTGTCTGCTACTAAGCCTTTTGTTTATTATTACTATTATTAATTACAACTTATTTGAAAAATTAAGCCTTGAAAAATACAGACATTGTAAACTTGCAAATTATTATATTTGTGGGGAGATAATAAAGGTCTACTGTACACAAATCACATCATCATATGGAATTTCTCTGTGTAGATGAAATTATATCATATCAGGCATGTCTGCAAGGGAGATTTTTTCGGAAATATAGTTCCTCGTATAGATGGGGCTTAATTGGTTGAAATATTTTGTATTTACATTTAAATAGCTCAGTCTGTCAAAAATTCTGAAAAATACACATGTAAACATTCTTGAATTTATATCAGGCATGTCTGCAAGGGAGACTTTTTCGGAAATATAGTTCCTCGTATAGATGGGGCTTAATTGGTTGAAATATTTTGTATTTACATTTAAATAGCTCAGTCTGTCAAAAATTCTGGAAAATACATATGTAAACATTCTTGAATTTATAAAGGATGGGATAACACATATATAATAAAGAGGATAAAAGCACATATTTAAATTCTGAAACTTGTCAGCACACTTATTGAGATGTACTATTATAAAAAAATAGCATGTTAATGTTTACTTTTAATAATAATTTATTGAATTTTATTTGTGTGAAACACATTAAATGTACTTTACATGAGAAAAAAAAAAAAAAAATTCACATGGTTTGTCAGAAATTTAGAAAAAAGCTACTGAAGAAATTAAAAAAAAAAAAAAAAAAAAAAAAAAAAAAAAAAAAAAAACTTTTATACTTACTTCATCAATGGCATCAATTTCAGCATCTTTAGCAGCAATTTCCTGTTCAAAATTCGATTTTATAATACTTTCAATTTTCTTTTTAGTTTGATTTCTCACTAAAATCAAAAGGAAGTAGATGACAATAAATTACATTATAGAAAATAAACCTCATAATCTGAGAAAAAAGATTAATTAAAATTCAAAAACTGATAGTTTTTGCAAGGCAAATATTTCTAAAACAAATGATTTAAGAAAGATATAATATAATTATCAGGCGGATTACACGATTAATGGCATTTTTTTATGAAATATGTTGTAATAAATTTTAGATAAAAATCACATTTTCATCGTAATTCATGGATGGAAATAAGAGAATTTGTAGTTTAACATTTAATGAACTTGCTCTCTTTTAAAAGATAATCAGCAAAATACTAATAAACTCTATAACATATTTTCTAGTAACACTTTTTTCATGATACGTGCATACAATTAAATATATTAAATATTATTCTGTGGGTACAATGGATATATGATGACTTGCAAATACAAATTTTCAGTTCAATATTCTTTGGCAATTTATGTCTTTAACATTAAACAGGATATTAAAAATGTTCTCATTATGTATATAATTTAAAATCAAAGTAACAGATAAAAACTAAAAACATAAAAATATGAAATATCATGATAGCAAAAATATTTTCCAAGGACATAACATGATGAACTCAGTCTTTTTGCATTTTTAGCTCATTATTTTAAGTTTTAGCTCATTATTTAAGTTCAAATAAAAGTAACTAATGTCATTAAGTAATTTCATTTTATTTGAATACATCCTAACATGGGCAATTAAACCCAGAATGCAATTAACTTGTTTATTTTCTTGTATTCAATACTAACTGCATCCCTGAACAACAGAACAAAAGTTATTAACAAATATGTAAAGTCTTCTAAATTTTAAAATAGCAGAAGGGATATATAAAATGCAAGACTGTATTTTAGAACTATATGAAATGGTCCTCTTAAAATAATAATAATAATAATAATAATAATAATAATAATAATAAAAATCAGTACCCTTCTCTTATTAGGACCATATTCAGAAATGGATGCATGCGCTCATGTATGCATGCATATAGTATATATGTATATATATATATAATATATGTATACACACACACACATATATATGCATTTCTGAATCCAGTCTCAATAACAGACTGGTACCAAAAAATAACCTAAAATATTAAATTTTCTGAATTTTTATGCTCTAAAATATATATCTGAATTTTTAATAGATATTTATTGAATATCCACTTTGAATAATTGATTGTAAAAATTATAAACAGAATTACAATCTATGTAGACCAAAGCCAAATAAAATGTGAAACATCAGGCTTGTAAACCTGTATAAATCTGAAGTGAAAAAAAAATATTTTCAGTGTTTGCTACAATAAACTACTCAGCATTCATTAAATAAGTAGGCAAATCAGTGCAGAATACTTTTTAAAATTAAATAATACAGTCAAAAGTCGTTAATCCGGACTTGTCGGGACTTCGGCAATTCCGAATTATAGATCATCAGTTTAAAATCTGGTAAGATGGCATGCAGAAATTATAAAATTAAAAATATGAAACCGTAATTTATGAAATAAAGAACAATTATGACCTAAAGAGTATCAAAATTTACAAAAAAAAAAAAAAAAAAAAAAAAAAAAAAAAAGAGCTTAATATTTATTTGTTTACTTTATTAAGCATTTCTTTCAATGTAAGTTGTTTAAGTTGCTTCGTTTTATGTGATAATACTTTCTCTTTAATTCTATAAACAGACATAATTTCTTTTTCAGTTACAAAGTTCCGCTGTTAAAGTCCTGTAATTTCGTGTCGAGAATACCGACTAATTTCTCAATCGAAATTTTTTCGTTTTCAATAACCTCTGTATCACTTTCTTCTTTATCGGAAGCGAATTATAATGACGAGGAATTTGATTTAAATCATATCAAAGACGGAGTACATCGAGATGAAATACTACATTTAGTAAGGAATTATAAGCGAAATAAAATAAAAACATCTGCCCTGAAGATAAAGATAGTGCTGACAGATTAACTTCCAATTCGTTGCGTGCCGCGGCATTTTGGCGTTTCCCCCCCCCTGGGCCGCAGAGCAGCGTTAAATTGATAAACAGATTTCGGAATGGTTTGAGAAACGAAGGATATGCCTTTATCCATTTTTTTCAGCAATTCCACATTTTGTTTAATGGACTTCGAAACATACTTTCGCTTTGTAGATCCTTTACATATTAGTAAATATATATCGGAAATTTTATTTGACATAATCAAAAGTTCAAGCTTACTTTTATAAAATTGCTCGGCTGATCTTTAGAATATGGTAACAGGTAGTTTGGCGACTTTTTGGAGGCGATAAAGGTTACTACCTGGGACTTTGGTAATAATGTGAGCAGTACTCAGTTCCGATTACGCATTATTTTGTGTGAGGGAAATGAGAGATCATGGGATATATCGTGATATTAATGGACGAATTACGGTTCTTTAATCGGAAAAAGGGGGAATTTGGAAAAATATCTGTGGCTGTATATTATTTTGTATTAAGCTTCATTGTGTGTTGTGTGAAGTAGGGTTGAATAATTTTGGGATTGTATGGCGCTGTCTAAAGTGAATTCTAGATGTGATAAAGAGAATTTTGCTTTTTATTTAGCAGAGGAAGTGTGGAGGAAAAATTCGCAGAAAAAATCGTTCAATAATTTTATTGAATCCATAATAAAAGTGTATCCACCATGTAATCAAGATTCTGAAGAAGATTAGGTAAGTTAGTAATTTTAATTATTTGAGGATATTATTTTTATGCATTGTTCTAAATGTAAGGTGGAAGTAAAGTAATTTGGTATTACTGGGAAAATTGTTATTAGCAATGATTTAGTTTAAAGTAATTAGGATTGTAAGCTAATTTTTATTAATTTAATGTATGTGCTTATTTATATTTTAAGTAGTGTTTTTGAATTTAATTATATTTTAATTAAATGATAGTTATTTTGTGAATTTTATGTTTGTAGGAATTTGGTATACATTTTAGTTGAAGTAAACGTGCATGGAAATAATTTAAATATTTGACACTAAGTATTTAATGTTTGCAGTATGAATTTGTTGGTGACGTTTATAATATAATAGATAATTTAGAGGTAAAAGTTTTTGGATATTTTATTTATTTTATACGTGGAAATGTTCATATTTGGAAAGGGTATATACTTTTTCGTTATTAGGTAATTTCATATATGTTCTTTTTAACGGGTTTTAAGATTCAAAAAATTGTCATGCATTTTCGTGAAATTTTTCTAATTTATGAGAAAAAAGCAGTGTACATGAATATGGTAAAGAGTGTGTGCAATGCCATTTTTGTGCAATTCTGGGATTTTTTTTTAAGTAAAAATAAGTCGACGAGTACATGGTTTAGTGATATTTTAATTAAATGATAGTTATTTTGTGAATTTTATGTTTGTAGGAATTTGGTATACGTTTTAGTTGAAGTAAACGTGCATGGAAATAATTTAAATATTTGACACTAAGTATTTGTAATGCTTGCGGTATGAATTCATTGGTGACGTTTATAATATAATAGATGATTTAGAGGTAGAAGTTTTTGGATATTTTATTTATTTTATATGTGGAAATGTTCATATTTGGAAAGGGTATATACTTTTTCGCGATCAGGTAATTTCATATATGTTCTTTTTACCGGGTTTAAAGATTGAGAAAATTGTCACGTATTTTCGTGAAATTTTTCTAATTTATGAGAAAAAAGCAGTGTACATGGATATAGTGAAGAGTGTGCGCAAGGCCATTTTTGTGTAATTCTGAAATGTTTTTTTAAGTAAAAATAAGTCGGTGTGTACATGGTTTATGTGTATGTGTTATTTTGAAAAACGCGTAAGGAGTATGGTATTGTGCACTTTATCCCAATTTTGCAGTGAATATTTGTCATGATTAAGCAGTTTTGTTAGATAAAATTTCTAGCATAAGTGTAATTCGGCTAGTAGATTGTTGGAAGAAGTGTTCAGTAGATAAAAAGAAAAGAAACATATCTTTACTTCGTGAAGACAAAATGGCGGCAGGAAAAAAAAAAATAGAGGGTTGCTGTAGGAGAGTTGGTCGCCAAATTTTCGCAAAAAAAACGCCAAGTTACCATAATCTAAAGATCAAACAATTGCTCTAACAGTCTGCAAAAAATAATAAGCCGGATCCAATTCGAAGATTCAGGAACAATGCAATCTGCAACATTAACTGAATTAGATAATTTTAGCTTAGCTTATACCGTCCGTTATACATTAAACGCGCAAGCGTAAACGTATTACGCACATGCGCACATACATATTCGCAGCCGTAAAAGTCTTACGAGCATGCGTCAACATGACACATGCACAGAAAGTTTGTAGCTTTGAGGTCCGGATTATGGGTGTCCAAATCAATGACTTTTGACCGTAATAATAATAAACAAAATAAAGAGTTTGAAAGACACACTGGAATGCTAACGTAACAGCTAAATAATTAAAACCCTCTATCACACAGGCAAACAAACACAGCAGGCAATTTTTTAAGAAATATGTGCAGCCAAAACTAGTTCATGTTGCAGATTTTCAGCTGAAACTTTGTAAAGGGAGTTTGATGTTTTTGATTCTATACTGCATATATGTTAAGCAGTTAGATGGAAAGAACCCGGGATCTAGCTATGTAATATCAAATTCCAAGAAATAAGACCTTTAGATATATTTTGTTTGCCGAAATGTGGCAGAAATTAATTTTCAGGGTTGATAACAACTTTATTTGATAAAGGCATATTCTCAATAACCTGTTACGATACTATTCCGTTTTGAGGATCGAAAAAAATTGCTGCGAAAATGTATGCGCAAAAGCGCCAAATCTAGCTTACATGCTGATTTCAAATTGCGCAGTTTAGATAGTTCTACATTTCTTAAGACGCCATTAAAATGCTAGTTTAATTTTTAAATCCTTTTTTTGATATCTTATAGATTTAACAATTTGTGAATTGCTCATGACAAAAAGTCTACAATAGATTTTTTTCAAAGAAAAGGCATCATTCATTAAAGAAAATTATGTTTGAACAACCAACGAGATGAAATTATGCTTTAGCTATAACTTGGTAGCAATGCAGGAATCCATTCAGTTATTTTTAACCTTTTCTTTATATAAATTATAATAATGATCTGAAATAGTTACTTACTCTTATCCTTCCATTCAGTTATGGTTAGCTTTTTAATATAAATTATAATAATAAAAAACTATTATATGAAATTAATCTTTCATATAAATTAAAACAATAATTTTTAGATAGTTATTTACTATTATACTTTATTTCTTGCATTAAGGTTGGCACAATTATTTTTGGCAGCACTGGTATCAACAATAATTTGGCAATTTTTTACGGTTCTCAAAACGGAATAGTACTCCTGTTACTTTTAAAATAGAAAAATACTTTCCTTAAGCAGTCATAGAAAGGAATTTTTCAGGCTCATTTGTATTGCTTTCCTTCAGGGATAGGCATTTCACTTTTATTTTGCTGAAAAGCCTTTTTTATTTTGCATTAAAATATTCTACTTCTATTTTATTTTATATTTAATATTTCCCATATCATTGTTCTTAAGATATAAAATTAATAATTTATTAATTCTGATGGAAAGCCTACTTTTGGGTCATTATTTCTCAAGTTATTCCGATTAGGTACCAGGGTTCATTCTGATTACAGGTGTTCATTCCGAGTTAAAATGATCAATGTTTAAATTTTAATAATTTTCTTCACAATTCATTCTGCTTTATGGTTATTACAGCCAGAGGACCAAGTGATCCACTCACTTCTGGTATATTAGTGGACCACTTCTGAAAATTTTAAATGTAGCTTTGCTAATGTGTTTATTTCTCAATAAAATTCGTTCAAATTATAAATGCACATTTACTTATAATGAAAGATTATTTGATTTAGGCATATGTTTTATAAAAAATTGACCATAAAAGAAACATAAGTAAGATTTAAATTCCACCGATATTCTGCCCTTTTTTAAACAAATTACCTCGTCATGTAGTCAATTCAGCTTTTAAATAAATACACATTTCAGAAATTTATAACACTTTTTCCTTCAGATTTTGAACATTTAAATAGTTTATTTTATTAGAGAGATCCTTCAGAGATATATATTTTTACCACAAAACTGACAGACATTCTAAATAAAGGACTTTTTTTTTTTTTTTTTTTGCAAGGTTGTAATTGAGTCGATACTTGAATTTAAGTTCTACAACCCTACTATACAAGTAGCGAGTTACCGTTATGTCTGAAATAGTATGAAGTAGACTTTCAAAGGTTTAAAAAACCTTTTTATTAAACTGTAACAAAAATGGTACGACTTGTGCTACAAATAAATCACTAACTGTGATGATGCAGTGCAATCACTAAGATACTTAAATTTAAATGTTGATAAAGTAGTCTATATAGGCAATAAACAAAGCATAAGCTCGTTCAACTAATTTGACTGTCTTGTAAAGTTAAAAGCAACTGTGACAGATTGCAAAAGCAGGGATAACATCTTTTAGATGGAGCTGACAAAAGTCTAACAGAGCTATGAGAGTACCAAAAGCTCTCCCTGAGATCCCAAATTCTCAGCTAAATACAGTAAAGGCAAATTTGCATTCTAGTAAGGAATACAGAAGTTAAAGATCAAAATCACAATAAATGGCTAATTATCATAAGAACCTTATAGTTTCATACCATAATTATAAGAGATAAGAAATATATTTAAAAAAATGTTTCTATAGTTTCAATAATACTTGAATGAACATACATAAAGGGATCAATAATGAAACATTTAAACTTATGTACAGACATATTACCCATATTTTAATATGTATCATCATATTATATTAATACAGTTTGATTATTAAAAAAAATACATGTTTTTGCTACATCTAGAAAGGTAATGTAGTTGCTAGAAAACAGGTTTTATTTCATAACAATCAAAGTTTAACTCAAAAATTTAAATAACCTGCATACCATTGTCTTCCATCAATTTGATACGCTTTTCTTGTATCTCTGATGGTATGGCTTCATACTCAGGATCTTGATCAAGAGAGCGCTTTGTAGCCATTATTCAGGTGCTTTTTTTTTTCTAAAAGATATAATTATCAAGAGTATGTTACTTGTCAATGAGGAATAAATTTTATGCAAAAATTTCCTCCATGTTCATTAAAGAAAATACCACACACATGATACACATATCATGAAGTTTCAAAGCAAGTGTGAACACTATACTTACAATTCTAACTATAGTATCTTTTTCATCCACTCACTTAACAACTATTAACGTTTCATGCTGGTAAACGGTCAATGAGCACAACAGCATATTTTATTATAAACGAAAATGCACATTAACAAGGCTAATTTACAAATTCATGTAATCTGTTTTATATTCATAAATTCCTTACATCCTTCGAAATAATGTAAAATTTCTACATTTCTATCAAGTTAAGCACTGTGTTTCAAGGCAGAATTTTTAGTCTCAATATGATCATTTATGAGATTCGCTAAGAAGCAAAAATACTGAAAAACAGTAATCCAGTATCTTTCACATTCCATAAAAATGTTTAAAAATCACAAAGGAAAGTAAAACAAAATAATTTTTGATACGGCAAACTGCATGGTATTCACCGGCACAACTAAATAAATTCGAGAAAGAAATACATTTTACACAGTATGACTGGAGCAAAATAATTGAAGGGTTATAACTTTCTGAAGCAATACAAAAAACATTATAATATACGCTTGTATCACGAAGACTCTCAAAAATATTGTGTTTATATTACATAAATAAGCGGTACACCACACTCCTGTCAGCAGCAGACCACTAAACTTCAGATGTTTGTCAAAGCTGCCAGATTATTAGTTTGATTATTTTTATTACTGAATTATTATTTATTAATCTATCTTTTAGAAAGACAAGTGAACACAGAAAGATAGCTGTTATTCTTATTATACTGCACGGATTTACGTTACAAGTTAACTGGCTTTAGTCTGCATATATGTTCTATTGAATGTACTCGAATTTTTAGATATCGGTCGACCCTTCATGGCATGATTAGCGAGAAGTATCTATGCATTTATTACATAAAACAACGACACAACCTATACGACAGTAAAATTCAAAATTTCAAAACTGAAATATTTCTTAAGCACATGAAACCAACCGTATTAAAAAGCCATCCCAGTTTCCTGAACTCAGAGTTTTGCTAATATAAACGGGCCTTTACTCGTCAACATAATACTATTTTAAGTGGAGAATTTATAAAAGACAATATTTAATGAGTAAAATATCCACAAGTGATGAATTTAAACAATAGACTGCTGAAGTCGTTTGAGCCATAATGCTCGCAATGCGCTACGAAAGACTAGTATGGTCTGAAATATTGTATATACTACTAAAGAAGTCCACATTCAATTTCTTCGAAATTTAACGCTTATATTAAAAATATGCTTCATTTGTGTTGTTTGGTATATAATATAAATGGATATGATCTTTATCTCCAGTAAAATGCACTGATTAATTCATGATTGTGCTGAATATTCATTCATAGTTACGCCATTAGTCATTGATAGAAAAATAACGTTTATGATGTATCAATCGCTACAGACTAGTCCGAAAATTTTTTATTATTGTCAAAAGTAGAACTACAACATTTTATCCAGCTGCCTAAGTTTTAATGAAACAGCACTCCGTATTTCTTTGTAATCCGTTCTTTCCCAGTAAAAACAAAGTAACCCACAAATTTCAAATCTCGCCTAACCTCCAAATCTCCTTAGCTGTAACCATGTGGCATTTTATTACAATTCTGTTGCCGCGTTTTATTTGAGCCATTAATAATTCCTGCATATATGGTGAGTATGGTTTGTTAGTTTATATTAAGGCTTGAATTATTTTGATCAGGTCAAAATTAAGATATGCAGCTTAGCTGGTATATCTCTACTTAAAATTTAACCGCAGTTATGTCTTGCATTCATAATTTCAAACGCCTACTTCGTAGTTGTAAATCTGTTTCAAGTTCATTTCGAACTTAATAGAGAGGTTAAATACGTAAGTGTTTTAGTTCGTCAAAAAATATAGGCTAGGAATAGGAGTTTAATTTTAGCTAAGTCTCAATTATTGCCAGTTTAACAAATTATTCATCCATGATTCAAGCTTCTGAGAGTTCTAATAGTGGCAAGATTAAGGAATAGCTTATGTCTGGATTTACATTTCTTAACCACACTGTTATATTTCTTTAGATTGATTCGCAAATATGCTGGTACTGAATCACAAGCTATGCTCAAGACTAGAAATAATTTGTCTTCAGTCATGTTGCAGAAATTCAACAAAAGTCTGAACCTTAAAATTGGAATTTTTGTTCAGAGAAAGAAATTCCTGCCAATAAGATTATGCATAGATGAAAAGTACATTCTGTTGTGTAAGATAAGCTGCATGAATGGCTGTAGCTGACTTCAGGAATACCAAAACCCCCATATTCCAGACATCAAACTTTAAATGTTGAGATTATGGGAACAATGAAAATGAAGGGTAGTTAAATATCATACAGATGTCTTGAAGTTAAATGAGAATGTAAACTGCTATTAGCCTTGAATAATTATAGCAACCTGTATAGCGTTATTTGAGCAATAACATTGGTAAAGATTTTTGTTTGCAATATCAAGCCAAATTCTGAAAAGATAAAAAGATTATTGACAGAAACAAGAATTAGCTGAAGTTAAATATGTTCAAGAAACCAAGTTCCAAAAGGAATTAAGACAATTATCTTAAGGAAAAGCAACAAATAATTCTCCATTGGCCTTGACCCGAATTAGGATGAGAGTGGACTTACACATTAAAGAGGCAGAATTCAAGGTTAACTGTTAGCAGAAATGTCTCTAAAATGCATCCTTTTGGAATTCTTAATCATACGAGAACATCAAAATGTGTTGCTTTCCTGTGTATTTTGAATTTACTGCCAAGTTTTTTGCTGCATATGGATTGTATTCTGAAAATAAATAAGTTGTATGCTGCATTTGATAGTCTAATTCACTATAAATTTGACATTAAAATTAAGCATTAGCTATATCTGACTACTGTCTCTGCGATTCCAGTATAGGTCATAGCTACTAAAACAGAAAGAACGAATCTTCTAAAACAAAATTTTGATGTAAATTACAAAAGCTTCAGGTTGAGTTTAAAACTTTGTAATTAATTATGACCTGAATATTGGCAATATTTTTTTAATTCCTCAGCAGAGCTTGCAAGTTTTTTAGTTATTGTGGAATTTCTTGGCTCATGTAATATGATCCAACAGTTAACATAAACTTCAAGTATCTGAGATCAGTATATCAAAATGCAAACTGGTAAAAATTCCTTTTGCCATGCTATTGCTCAGATCTGTTGTCATGACTGGCTATCTTATATTAGTGTATCATTTCTCTGTGTTGTCACTGTTCTAGAGGATAATTTCATATACAGGGTCCAAAACCTTTGTTCAGGATAAATATTGAAAAATTATAAAATCTACATTTTCCATCTAATCAAAGTTGTTTTGATGCTCTTCTGTTATCGGGACCAGATTCATAAATGCATGTATGTATGCATTTATGGAAGGATGGATGTACTCATATGTGTGTGTATGCACATACGTATACATACATACACACATTTCTGAATCTGGTCCCAATAACAAAGAGTACCTATTAAACTACACAAACATGCATATGTATGCACGTACACGCATATATACATAAATTTCTGAATCTGGTGCCGATAACAGGAGAGTACTGTTGCTTTTTATTGCAGTGACCTTTGCTATTTGGGATTTCTTATATTTTATCAAAAATGGTTTTTATCAATTCATTGATCTTGACATTAGATTGAATCTCTTGAGTGCTTGTGAGATAGTGCTGTTTGTATAATAGAGGCATTGCCTGCTCACATGTATATTCTTTTTTTAACTGATTTTAAGTGACATCACATGCATTCTTAAAAAGAAATATTATCTTTTATCCTAAATGCCATTTTTAACTTTGCTTTCTATTTAGTGTTGTATGATTCTTTTTTATTGCAATGTTTTATTGCATATTTTATTATCAAAACTATTATATGCGCCCTCAGGTTGCCAAATTTCTCTCCAAACATTTTGGTGAAACTCCACATTGCCATATTACTCTTTAAATTTTTTGTCTACTTTTGAACTTTAAGCAAAAATTCTCCGCCTAAACCGCATTTTTGTATCTCAACATTTTAATCTAAAATCCGAAAAAACAAAAATTAATAGCAAAAACGCTAAATGTCGGTTATCTTTCATATGGTAACTTGGCGATTTTTTGGCGAAAATTTGTCAACCAACGCTCCTACAGCAACCCCCCGCCCTGCCCTCGTAATTTTTTTTCCCCGCCGCCATTGTCTTCACGAAGTAAAGACATGTTTCTTTTCTTTTTATCTCCTGAACACTTCTTCCAACAATCTAACTAGCCGAATTACACTTATGCTAGAAATTTTACGGTTATCGTTACATTATGGTAACTTGGCGATTTTTTGGCGACCAACTCTCCTACAGCAACCCTCTATTTTTTTCCCCCGCCATTTTGTCTTCACAAGTAAGACATATTTCTTTTCTTTTTATCTCCTGACACTTCTTCCAACAATCTACTAGCCGAATTACACTTATGCTAGAAATTTTATCAAACAAAACTGCTTAATCATGAGAAATATTCACTGCAAAATTAGGAAAAACTGCACAATACCATTCTCCTTACGCATTTTTCAAAATAACACATACACATAAACCATGTACACGCCCCGACTTATTTTACTTAAAAAAACATCCCAGATTTGCACAAATGGCATTTGCGCCACTCTTCACTATATCCATGTACACTGCTTTTTTCTTCATAAATTAGAAAAATTTCACGAAAATACATGACAATTTTCTCAATCTTTAAACCCGGTAAAAAGAACATATATGAAATTACCTGATCGCGGAAAAAGTATTTACCCTTTACAAATATGAACATTTCCACATAAAATAAAAATAAAATATCCAAAAAACTTTACCTCTAAACCATCTATTACATTATACACGTCAGCAACGAATTCATACCGCAAGCATTACAAATACTTAGTATCAAATATTTAAATTATTTCCATGCACGTTTTATTTCAACTTAAACGTATACCAAATTCCTACAAGCATAAAATTCACAAAATAACTATCATTTCATTAAAATATCACTAAACCATGTACACGTCGACTTATTTTTACTTAAAAAAACATCCCAGAATTGCACAAAAATGGCATTGTGCACACTCTTCACTATATCCATGTACACTGCTTTTTTCTCATAAATTAAAAAAATTTCACGAAAATACATGACAATTTTCTCAATCTTTAAACCCGGTAAAAAGAACATATATGAAATTACATGATCGCGAAAAAGTATTTACCCTTTACAAATATCAACATTTCCACATATAAAATAAATAGAATATCCAAAAACTTTTACCTCTAAATCATCTATTACATTATACACGTCACCAACGAATTCATACCGCAAGCATTACAAATACTTAATATCAAATATTTAAATTATTTCCATGCATGTTTATTTCAATTTAAACGTATACCAAATTCCTACAAACATAAAATTCACAAAATAACTATCAGTTCATTAAAATATAATTAAATTCAAAAACACTACTTAAAATATAAATGAGCACATACATTCAATTAATAAAAATTACCTTACAATCCTAATTACTTTAAACTAAATCATTGCTAATAACAATTTTCCCAATAATACCAAATTCCTTTCCACCTTACATTTACAACAATGCATAAAAATAATATCCTCAAATAATTAAAAATACTAACTTACCTAATCTTCTTCAGAATCTTGATTACGTGGCGGATACACTTTTCTTCCTTCTGGTTTCAAATCTTTAAAATCATACTTATCTTTCAAAGCAAGATACCAGGTAAAATAAATAACATAATAAAACATCTTTATTTCTCTCTCGCACAACCTTAAAAAACATTTATTACTATCCTTTTCAATACCACTAAATACCCATTTCGAATTCTCTTTAGTTACGGCCATGGGATCCAAAAATTCACAAACACTATTTTCACACAACACAGAATAAAGCCAAATAAAAAATTGCCAGATTTTTTCCCGATTAAAGAACAGTAATTCGTCCATTAATATCACATGACATATCCCATGATCTCTCATTTCCCTCACACAAAATAATGCGTAATCAGAACTGAATACTACTCACATTCTTAACAAAGTCTAACTAACCTAATCTTCTTCCGAATCTTCCTTACATGGTGGATACACTTTTATTATGGATTCAATAAAATTACTGAACGATTTTTTTTCCGAATTTGATAGAATTTGATAAAAGAAAAATTCTCTTTATCACATCTACAATTCACTTTAGACAGCGCCATACAATCCCAAAATTATTCAACCCTACTTCACACAACACACAATGAAGCTTAATACAAAATAATATACATCCACAGATACTTGTCCAAATTCCCCCCTTTTCCGATTAAAGAACCGTAATTCGTCCATTAATATCACATGACATATCCCATGATCTCTCATTTCCCCCACACAAAATAATGCGTAATCGGAACTGAGTATTGCTCACATTATTACCAAAGTCCCAGGTAGTAACCTTTATCGCCTCCAAAATGTCGCCAAACTACCAGTTACCATATTGTAAAGATCAACCAAAAATATTTGACAAGAATCCATGTACACAGCGATATGTTTTAACTTAAAAAAAACATCTTCGAATTGCACAATCTAGGCAGCGAAAAAATCTATGAACTCGCTTTAATAAATTGATGTAACAATTAAATTTCAAAGAATACAATGTACACATCATTCTGTTTAAACTTAAAAAACATCTACAAATTGCACAATCTAGGCATTGCGCACAAATCAACAAAATGAACTAAAATAAGTAAAATAAATTACAAACAATTCAAATAACAACAGAAATTCATAGTAAAAGAACAATGAACATAATGTTATATAAAATAAAATGCACTTACGATAATACATACGGCAATAAAATTTTGCTAGTCGCACAACGTCTGTCAACAAAAGTGCTATGATTTTGTTCTATCACATGTTTTTCTGCGATTCAAAATTTTGAAAGTAACGATAAAAACTTCCTCCAATGTTAACTTACTACACGAAAACCACAATCCAAATCTTAAACTCCTCTGACAGCTACATACTTAACCAGCAACCATTTGACTGCAAACCCACACATGTCTATCAGAAACACCATTCTTTGTCTGAGTTCTCATATCAGCTCTGCATTTCGAACACACCAAACTCCGTTTTAAAAGTCCTGACTCCCACAGAAATTCCAAAAATGCACTTCTATCCGCATAAACACACCCATGACAAAGGACTCATTAACAACTCCAACATCGTACCTTTTAATACTAAATTTACTTTGCACAAAATCTAAAATACGCGACTGAAATCTTGCCACCATGTCTCTAAGTTTCAACATCAAAAGTGTTGTCATACAAACAGCATCGTCCACCAAACAATCCTACAGCACGGAATCGCGCCAAAAACCAGAACACATATCACCACATTTGGTGATCTTGGGACGCATATAAGAGTAGAGCCTTGTTATCATTTAATAAGCAATAAATACAACTCTCCTTTTTTAATGTAAATTTTTTAAAGAAAGTTTAGAGATTAAATCAGCTGAAATCAAGGGAAAAAAAATTAATAAAATGAGGAAGGAAACTTGAAACAAGATTTGAAAGAAAAAAAAAAAATCTAGTATCAAGGCAAAGATATAGAAAAATATGCCAATATTGTTTGTAAAACGCATGTTATAGCTTTAATTGGAAAGTATCTCCTTTTTAATGTTTGTATTTTATTTGTTTATTTTGTGAGGGAAGGGAGAATTTCATTCTCAGTTTTTCAGCTCCAGTGGCATTTATTTGCTCTGCAATGTAAGTGGCACTTTTTAGCACATTCTTGTGTAGAGATTTGAGGCAATACATTATTAAAAAAAAATGATGCACAAAATGGCCATAACATGGAGTTGTGTCTGAAATCAGATAAATGTTGTTACAACATTTCAGAGGAATTGCAGTAATGCAGAATCTAAAGATATTTTAAGATGAATCATACATTTTAAAATTTCTTTTGAAATCATTTACAATTATGTTTTGCCTTTCCATATTTTCAGGAGCAAATTTGGTCATATTAGGAATTACGTACAGTTCTTGTCTTTATGAACATTAAAAATTTACACTTGTTAGACTCTGACTAACAACCAACTTTCTGTAGGGACAGGATATTATGTTTATATCAATTTTTTTTAATTGATTGAAGTTTATTTATTTATTTTTTTAGATTGTTAAGCAACATTATCTTAAAAGCTAATAAGAAAGGATTTCAGAATTAAGTGAAATGGCTGCAGCAAAAGGTCGTGGTTTTGCATATCATTCTCAACAGGTCCAAGAATTACGTAGGCCTGGAGAAGTCGGTGTCAAGCAACAGTTTAGTGATGTAGCTGAGAAAAAGACTGAGGTATAAAATACCTTTCAACTCTTTTATTAATTTGAGAGAAATTCTGAATGATTTAAAATTTCCTTGTTTACTAATCTACCTCTCAAAAGGCAGCTCTCATGTAACTGATTAGAGTGGGAAAAATCTGAATTTCCTTTTTAATAATGTTAAGCAGAGTTAGTTCTTTATGATACTCGGCATGTCCTGCAACTTTACACGTAAGTGCTGTTTTAAATTTAAAGTTAGTAATAATGTTTAGTGCAGAAATTTGTCTTCCCCTTTTTTTACATGACAGTTCTTTTCACCTTTCTTCATGAATATAAAAATACTTGGTTCCTTTTGGCTAATAAAAATGAATCTAAAAGTGAAGTAATAAACAGTGAATTTTTGCAAAGTAAGATATGGGGAGTTTGGATCCCTGTTTGTATATTATACCTATTAAGGTACTATTAAGATGCTTCTGGTTATTAAAAAAAATTGCTACTCAGCATTTTTTAAAAATAACCAGACTATATAAAAATTGTTTTCCTTGGAAATCAAAAATGACAAAATAGGAAAAAAGGATTAAAATTATGCAAAAGATAAATTAAAATTTTTGAAAAATGTATTTTCATTGTAATGCCTAAATAGTACTACTTGGGCAGTTCTTGAAAACAAACATGAATTTTTTTAAATGCGATTTTCTTACCCGTTTCTTTTTTCTTCCAAAGGGAAAGGAAAGTAAATTTTATTAACTGTTAGCATAACATAGTCTCCAGTATGACTTTTTTTAAGTCTGTTATTATATTAAAAAATGTATATTTCTTTTGTCATCAATTGTGCAAATTGACAGTTTATGTTGGAAAAAAGAATCTTCTAATCTAAGTATCCCTTTTTTCTATAGCTTACTTAAATCAAAAATATATATGTATATTCTTTATATATATAAATTATTTATGTGTTTAGAGGGTATCTATATACATAAAATGTTTATAAGGTTTGGAGTGTGATAATGTCAACGTGTATTGAATCTTTATATAGAGGTGTGCTGATTTTAAAACAAATGTTTTCTTTTTGGAAATTACATTGTGAATTTCTCTATGTAGGGTATTGAAAAAAAAATTTCTGAAATCTGTGTTGCTATGAGTCAGATCAATGTGGCTGATTCAACAGAAAAATTAAAATCTTTCACTCAACTTGTTAGCTCTGTTTGTAAGACCTCTGAGGATTTAGAAAAATGTGTTTCTATTATATTTGATTTTGCTGTGAAAAGTAAATGGAATGCACATCTGTCGGCAATTTTTTGCAACTATCTGGGAGACGTCGCAACTAATGGTACCAAGTTTCGAACAGTTTTATTACGAAAACTTCAAATATCTTATAAGGGTAAGTTTTTAAAAATATATTTTATGCTGAAATTTTTCTGCTAGCTATTTAATTTAGAGTTATGCTATCAAATCATGCTAATACGACCCTCAATGTGATGACCTACTCTAGTATCATGAAAATTTATTAGGAAGTTCTAACTAATCTTCCATAAAACCAAGAACAGAGCCAATGGCCAATGAATTTTTTTTTTTTTTTTTTTTTTTTTTTTTTTTTTTTTTAAGCGCAGAATAAGCTGCATCAACAAAATTGAGAAGGTGGAGCTGTGTGACGTCCATAAATAGATGGGACTAAGCTTGTGACATCATAATGTTTTTTATCGCATTTACACTACACATACTTTCTATTTTCTCTTAAAAATAACAATAATGAATTGTTTATTATTGTAAATTAATATCAAATTCTTTACTTTTAATTTACATTTATAACATTTAAGCTTAGGCTTTACTGATGATATTATAAACAATTTATTAGTATAATAAATTGTTATAATATCATCAGTATCAGTATTGGTAGAATTGCTCACTGTATCATGGTAATTAAAATTATCATGATACAGTGAGCAATTCTACCAATTACTAAAAGGATAAACAACGTCGTAGTCTCTCATACTTGTGCTTCATACAGCTTCAATATTTTCAAAGATTTTTAAGCTTTAGCATTTATACAAATAAAAAAGATTTTAAAATTTAAATTCATATTGAGGAACATTTTAATTTTATCATTTTTACAAATTACCTTATTGCTACGTAATGACATAATTCCTTACATACCAGCAATTAGACAGTTTTCTCATTATTTTCTAAAAATTTTAAACTTTACATTAATAAATAAGAATATTTTTTACTGCATATGAACATCATTACACGGCTTTCTTATCAGTTTCTAAAATTCCTAAATCATGTCATATTCTCTTTGTAGGAATACTAGAATTCTACGCATTAATAAATAAAAACTAGTTTCTCACAATGAAAGAAAATAAATACTACAAGTTTGAAATACTAAGCAATGCTTCACATACACACATATTATCAATGAACTCATATTATCGAGTGCAATTACGATACTAAACACTACGTATTAAAACAATGACGTAAATAGGGTCAAAGTTTACAGTTTTGCTGCTGTTCAGTAGATCGTTGGACTATCGATATTTATTGTAGGTCAGAAAGCATTATCAACATATCAAGACGAAACAATTAAAAATACAATTTAAATAACAAAAATGTCTTAAATATGATTTAAAATTAACACAACAATACAAATTTAAAATACACGAACGATATTTTAAATGTTTCACATAAAAAAAGTTACATTACTGTTCGGCATCACCCACAAGCTCATTTTCCCTTGTACGCAACGATTCATATTCGCTCGAAAAATATCAAATTGCACAAACTCAGTGTCCATGTGCACATCCATCTATTTTCACTTAAAATACATCAGGGAATTGCACAAACTTGGCATTATGCACCACATTGGCTTTGCTCATGTACACAGCGATCTATTTTCACTTAAAAAAACGTCAGAGAATTGCACAAACTTGGCATCACGAACAACCTCGGCATTGCGCACCACATTGGCTTTGCCCATGTACACATCGAGCTATTTTCACTTAAAAAAATCAGAGAATTGCACGAACTAGACATCATGCACTACCTTGGCCTTGCCCATGTACATAGTGATCTCTTTTCACTTAAAACATTCAGACATTGAATAAACTCTGCATTGCTCATATATTCAGAAATCTGCTTTCACTTAAAAGAAATCGGATAATTCCAGAAATTCCCGCATAACCAACTCCATTGATTCGAGTGATAAAAAAATGTTTCCAGAAAAATTACCCAAAACGAAAATAAAGCCACCAGAATAAAGTAACTACCGAATATCCAAATTGCCATATTTGACAAGCACTCGATATTTTACTGAAGTCAATAATAATAAATGAAACTTACCTCCAGTCCTCTCCTTTTGCACCCTGTCACATTCTTCTTCAAGCATAACTCTATGCACACTTCCCTACAAAAACTTTTCCATTCTGTCACTTTAATTTTAGCAAGTGATTCCGATCGTATAAAATCATTCCTGTACTTACCCAACCACATATAGGTATTTCGTAAGACCAGGAGTGTTTGTGCTCCGGGGATTTTAAACTTTGATACCCAGAAATTCCGGGGATCGTCGTTCAAAAGAAAGTAGGAATAATAATGAATTATTTATTTTGATCTGGGTAATTTTGTTTGCTTTGAAAGCAGAAAACGCAAGGTCAGTGTGTGTGGTGAAAACTTTTCCTTTCTTTCTCCAAAGGCAGTGATAATGCGTGAAAAGGGGGAAAAACTTCTTTTTTGTTCTTTCCTTATTGCGAGTTATGACTCATTCCCCCGGGTTCTCGGACATTCTCTTCTGGATTCTTTTCGGCAAGTAGGCGCGGCAGAAAAAAAAGGGAGAGACTTCGTTCGACCAGATGTGCGATCACGTGACTCTGGGTTCAAAGGTCTTATCTCTCCTGGCGTGGCGCCAATAAGTAGAGAAGGGGGATTTTTTGTAAAACTTTTTTTCGCTTTCATTTCATTTATTGATGCACGTGTAAATTTTTCGTTTCGTTTATTGAAATATTTTTTTATTTATGTACGCAAGAGAATTTCACTATGAAATTTCTCGATATAAATAGTGATATTATACAATTAGAAGAAGGTGTCCGGAATGCATTTAGGTGGAATTGGATTGAACGGAGAGATGGTAATGGGGATACCATCGGCACATGGTGCAAGAAAATAAATGTTGCTGGACAAGCATATTGTGTTTTTTGTAACTCACTGCTGAAGTATGGTGGGGAAGGATTCAAGGCTTTCACAAATCATTCTAAAACTGTGACGCACATAAAATATTCAAAGTGCATTAGACATTCAATGACTTTAAGTAATTATGCTAATTCAAAAAATACTGATGACTTACTGGAGACTGATGCTCGGCCATTGGATATAGTGACAAGAAAAGCACGCCAAGAGGTATTAATAACTTCGTTTATCGCCGAGAATTCTCTTTCTTTCAATGTAGCTCCCAATTTAATTGAACTCTGCAAACAGTTGAGCCGCGATCAGACGGCACTAAACTCGTTGGAAATGTCCAGGACTACTGCATGTTATAAGATGAAATATGGGCTCGCAAAAACTATTAAGGAAAATATCATTAAAACTTTAAAGGAGACTCCATTTTCTCTAAATTTGGATGAAAGTACTAGCAATGCTCAAGAAAGTATACTGGCAATATTGGTGCAGTTTTATGACAACAATCAAAATGAAGTTGTAGTTCATCATTTTGCATCTCTAAAGATGGAATCTTGCAATTCAGAAGCTGTTTTTAAAGCAGTTGTTAATACTATTGAAGATAATAATATTCCATGGGCAAACTTAATTAGTGTATTAATGGACTCATGTAACACCATGCGTGGAAAAAAAAAAGGGTGTTGAAACCAGACTACGATCAAACAAAGCACCCCACTTATTAGATATTGATGGTGACACATGTCACACAGCTAATAACTGTGCAAAAAAAATTTGCTTCATGTTTTGATAGATACTTAGAAGATTTGTTTGATGACATCTATTTTGATATGAAAAGCTGCAGTAAAAGAGAAAATTTTTTCAAAATCTGTGAATCCCTTGCCATTAAAAAACTTAAGCCCTTGAAGAGACCAGACCATAGGTGGGTGTACATTTTATGTGTTTTAGAAAGAATCAAAGATCTGTGGGATGCTCTTATTGCATTTTATTTTCACTACTTGGATAAAACTGATAAAGGGGATTATTTTTCTTATGTTGAAACTGTATACAATAAAAGAAATATTTCTGCAGCTCAGAAAAAAAATTGTTGAAGTGGTGTATTCTTGCTTGCATTCCCAACAACTCACAAAGGATGCTTTAGCTCAGAAAAAAAAATAATACTAAATGGGTTATTTATGCAAAACAAAACTTTATTGCATATGGCATTATATTCAGCAGTATTACCAGAGTTCAACACATATATTAAATTATTTGAAACAAAAAAAACCAATGCTTCATTTAATACATTCCAGTATTTATAAATTGATGGCAAAATTTTTCTCCTTTTTTATGAAGCCAGAAAATATAGAGTGCACATCTTATAATGATTTATTAAAGGTTGATGTCACAAATCCAGAATTCCATCTACCTAGCAAAGTAATATTTACTGGTGCAGAAGCTTCCACTCTCCTGAAGAAATTATCAAAAAATCATCCAATAGCAAAGAATTCCAAATTTCTCTGATGAAAGCTTATACTAATACAGCACAGCATATGAAACAAAAATTACCCCTTAAAAATTCATATCTAATTAGTTTTACAGCATTAGATCCGGAGCTAAGAGGTAAAACCAGTACAATATTAGCTTTTGAAAAATTATCATCTTTTATGTCCCATATTTTTAGTGATAATGAAAAGTCAAAAGTAGAAGCTGAAATAAGGTTATACCAGAGTGATATTGATATCACCAAAGAAATGCTCTACACATCTGATGAAAGTGGAAATCAAGTCAAGTGTACAATTGATAAATATTGGTCTAAAGTTAATTTAAAAGATGATTTCACAAATGATTATAAGTATCCTACATTGGCTAAATTGGTCAAAGCCTGCCTTAGCTGCTTCCATGGCCCATTAGTGGAAAGTGCATTCAACTTAATGGATACACTTGTCACTGACTATAGAACCTCTCTTAAGATTGATTCCCTAGATGCAGTGCAGACTATTAAATATGATTTAATGGCTTCTAAAGAAACCTCATGTGAAAAATATGGCTAAAAAAATCCAATGACTGATCCAATTCACAAAGATCTCTTACTGAATATGAACAGAAGCTGCATGAAGAAAACATATCAAGAGGATTTAAAAACATGTATTTCAGATGAGTCACCTATAAAAGTCTCTGAAAAACCTTCTACATTAGCAGAAAAGCAAACTGCTTCTACCTCTGCATGTGCAGTTC